CGCTTTGGACCCCTCCATGTAAAACCCTCTTGTCTCTTATCTACGTTATCTGGGAAAGGAATCTGATCCCCTCATGAATGAAACAAAAGGCCGTTAAGAGTGTCACAATCCGATCAATACGGGGGGTCTGTTGGCAAGTGGCCCCTCAAGAGGAGTGCTATGAATGCACAGGAGTGTAATCAGACTCAGACTATGCTTCAACTACACTTTATCTTAGTCTGGAGGCAACACAAAGTCCTAAGACAAAAGCAGCTGAGAGACCATTTTTACTTGATTATCTGACTGAAATACTGGAAGTTTTAACACAAACAGCGAGCTCTTGCAGTTTGTTTAAGATGCAACATGCTTAGTTGTTTGTTTTCCAATGTCTTGGTCAGCTTGTTAGAGGATATGGAGAAAATTTATGACTGATCTAAGACTTCTCCCCTGAGCGGTCTGCAGTGCTCTGACTCCGCAGGCAATGTTGTTGTTCATCACTGTTTTAAAAGAGAAGCAGGGACGTTCCATTGATTTATGTTTGGAGCAAACCAAGCAACTCTTTTCTTTTTACTCTGTTAGACCAAATGTGGGAAAATCCAAGGAAGCAGAGATGTTGTGTATTTTTAGGCTCAGAATGAGATCCTACCTGGTTTTTAAATCAGGTAGCAGTCCTTTCTACAATCTCAAGCATGAAAAAATGAAGTCACATCACAAACTACAGGAGGGAGTGTAGGGTGGAGAAATGGATGGGGAGATGCTGACAACATGGATTGTCAGTTCTTCATCAAGAGCTGGCGGTAAGATCTTTACTGTCATATTCATGACATAGTCAACAAGATTTTAAATCCTAAATATCGATATCAGCTCCAGATATTAATTGGGGCGGTTGTGATGCTCTCTGAGCAGATCAGGGGAGGCTGAGATGGGATCTAAAAAATAATCTGGGCAGATAATCGGTTCCAGTCGGGGACAGCCCCCTGATTGTCGGGAAGGGGGGAACCAGACCTTAAATCGACCATGTTGTCATGTTGTCTGAGCCAGGTTTAAGATCCCCTCTTTCACAACTTGCATAACATGAGTTAGTTCCAATCATATCAACCATAAGGGATGTAGCTTTATGTTACTATAAGCTTTATGTAACGGCTGGGGAATCACAAGAGAGTTATCAAAATGTAAAAACAGTTATGTTGTGAAAATGTGAAGTGTCATTTTTATCCTGGGAGGGACATTAAGATTTAATTAATCTAACTTTAAACTGTTTGTTGGAACTTACTTACAACACAGAGAAAAATGCTCCGTTTCAAATGTGCTCTCCTTGTGACATCACAGTGGGATTCTAGTAAAAATAATCCCCTCCCCTCCCCTGGTATCTCCACCCATGTACTCCACCCCCAGCATAGAACAAAACTTTTACACAGGTCCGCCATTTTTATTCTCTCTACAGAGGAGTGATGTCTATGGGGAAAACTAAGGGGGCGGGGCTCATTTAAAGAGACATACACAAAACGGAGCGTTCTGAGAGAGCTGGTTTATACAGGGTCATAAACCTCCTCTGGTTCTTGATTCATGTTATATTTTAACCACAGCACAGATGTTTCATTTAGACCAGAGGGGACATATGTCCACATATAATATGTCATCTTTAAAGTTCTAGGCTCTGTAACTTTTACGATTGGAACCTGCGCAATTTATGCACGTCCGCACTTTTGCCCAGGTACCATGCATTTGCACTTTGTATGTTTAATGGATTGTCTGTGCTTTATTAAGTATATGTGACTCTCCCTGCAACCTACATTTACCTACACAACAAAAATGACCTGAACCTGAACTTGGAGACTGTCTCTTTAAAATGAAATAAGTAAAGATTTTGACAATCAAATCAAATAACCCTAACCCTGATTGTTGGTGAGAAGTTAGAAGGATCGAAAATGGTTGAATTCAATTGGTAATCATTTGGATATTCCCAAACCTTTCATTTACATTGAACCAAAGAGTATGAATGGATCTGAAGAGCTTTTATTTTCCCCAAACAGCTTCGATCAATCGCAGTGGAATGCCTCTTACAAGCCCTTTTGTCTTTTCTAACGATGGGAAAGAATCAGGGGTTGGTGTTGAAGCTAACTCCGTTTTTGTTCGTCTTTTCATCGTGCTACATGTAGAATGACACATTACAGCACATCTCATTTAATCACCGTTAGATTACATTGCCTTGAAACTTAAACTGGAGTCATTTGTATCCCCTTCAATCATGATTAGTTCAGAAAACGCTTCATTCTCAATCTCTGACTCTCTTAATGCTGACTGTGACGGTATCCTCACATCTGTTGTGTTTGCTAATTGGCAATACGTGAAGGAGCGGCAGGTCTCTTTATTTGTTACATGCATTGTTTGCAGCTTGATTAGGATAAAGATGATAAAGACATATTGATATCATTTAGACTTCTAGCTAAAAAAAAAAGTGGATATAATTATGTTTCCCCCTCCCCCGTTCAGTTGAATGTGACAAGAACAAGCTGGTGAGGAACACAACATCAAGTGGAGATTAAAAACTCTCCATGACCTTTCAGTTTTAGTAATTCATTCTGCAGAGAGCTCAAATTAAACAAAATATGTTATCAGACACTTCAGACTTTCATGAAGAAAGTGAGAAGAGCTGCTGTTTTCTAACAGTTAATCATATGACACTTTGTATTATCAGAAAGATGCAGGAATAAGTTGTAACACTCAGGATACAAAATTTACTTTAACTAAAATATGTATTTATAAATAATAAATTATCAAAAAACAACTGCACTGCGATCGCAAATTTATTTGATGATCCGAAAACAGCGTTTGTAGTATCTTGTTTTGTTTTGGAAGAATAAATGACGAAAGCATCTTGGATCTGGAAGTCATTTATAACGACAGCGCGTCACAGCTTCACTCCCGTGTTTAGTCCCTCGCGGCAAACTTTTTTGACGACCTGCAAAAGGCCGATATAGCCGCAATAACACCCTTTAACCAGACAGCCAGGCTTGAGGCCTGCCTTTTGAGGGAATCTTCTTGAGTCTTTTGAAGTTGCTCCTTTAGCTCGCCATCTTCTTTGCTCCGGCAATATGGCCTGACCTGTTTAGGCAGGTAACAGGTAACAACATCACACGTCTGCTCAACTTGGGAGCAGCAATTTAATCCATGTTCTATTGTGGATGTCTCACCAGTGTTCAGTCCTGAAACATTCCTCCTCAGCTCCTCAAGGGCTTGAAGTCTCAGTTCAGTTAAGTCCTGAAGTTCTCCTTGACTGTTTTAGGAATGACTGTGTCCCGCTGCCTTCTGACTGACTCCTTGGCTGTATCCGAATTGCCAAGTACATACTCGATCTGTCAGTATGCAGTACCTACTATCTGTGCTGTATACTGTTAGTACCTACTATTCAGTATGCGCACACAGTAGGCAGATATTTGTCCTACTTCTTCTGATTCATTCAGTATGGAAGTGACGTCATTTACGTTTCCTGAACCGGCCGCGTCCACCCGTTTTTTTTTTTTTTGTTTAGCTTTATTCAAGAAGAGTAACGCGCAAATACAGTCAGGTAAACAAACAACAATATCACAAGGTAAATCAAGTAAAAGACAGATTAAATAACTAAATAACATACACTAGGCTACATAAAAGTACAAATGAAAGACAGTAATATACAGAATATAAAATAAACTAATAAAGACACATTTAAATAGTGAAATCATTATTTAAATAGAGGGAGAAAGATTTTATAATAATGCAGATATTTGTTATATTTTCTGTTGTTAATTTAAAGTAGTGATTTCAGTCGGGACTTTAACTCTAGATTAAAAAGTGATTAATTAATCCACGCTCGTTTGTTTTGATTTGGAGGCGGACGTGAAGTGACGATTTACGTTTAATTTCGCACAGCATTGTGGGAGGTAAAATACATTTCATTTCCTGAAAGCACGCATCCGATCCATACTGCATGAAACCAGGAAGTTAGTATCCACACTGAAATGTTCAGTATACTGAGGTGGACCCAAAAAATGCATACTGAATGACCAGGAGAGTTCAGTATACTGAAACTCCATACTGAAAAGTACGTACTGCATACTGAACTGTGGCTATTCAGAAAGGGCCCTTGACTGCTTTCAATCAGGTGATTAGTGCACCTGGGGAAAGGGGGTAGATGCCTGTTGGCTGCAGACTGCATCCAATTGGCTCAGGATTTGAATGACCAATGTCAGCAGTGTTACAAAGTGTCTGAAATATAAAGCACACTAACATATTTCACAGCCAATGTTTGACACTAACAAGGGAAGCAAATCAACAAGATGATTTGAATGGAATTATCAGATAGCAGCAGAAGCTTAAGATTGAATAAAAATTCAACCATTGCTGGTTGAGGCCACAATTCAAGCTGTTGTGGCCTCGTATGGATCATCCACACGCTACTGAGGTCCCTGACAGTGTGAAATGTATAAAGTGTAAAAAAAAGTATTACTATGCGAGAGTGCAATCATCAATTCCATCAAGCAACTCAAAACAGGAGTGAATACCAACAGAAGAACATTGCAGGGGATTTTGGCACATTTTTTAGGGCGCCACCCACACGTTTAGCTGTGTTGTTCATTCCACGAATGCACGATCCTTACAAGTTATACCTCATTGTAAAGGTGACTAATCAGGCTTTCCAATGATATAAAATACCAATTAGCATTATCAAAGGGGCCAAATAATTGACCAAAATATTGTTTCCAAACTTTCTTTGAGGAGTTTACTACAGATGACGGATTTTCTTCATTCTTTTTTTTCCAGAGCACTTGAGTTATTAATGTCTGTCAGGACCTAAAGACAATTTCAACCGGAGGAAAATTGCCAACCCTGGCTTTAACTAAAATCCCATCATAACCCGGAGAGAGAGGAAAAAAAGGTAGAAGCCAGTCAAATCATTATAAAACACTTTTCCCTACCAGATTGAGCCGAGTCTAAGAATGATCTAATATGTGTGTAATCAAGCACTCTCACAGGCGGCGTACCTTTGAGTACAGATATATTCGGTCTGTGTACTGGCTGGCGCAGAACTGCAGGCCCGGGTAGATGGGATGGGCGGCGCTGGCTTCTTCTCCATCATTGCCCTCATCATCGTCATTTGCATCCGCAGCTCTCCGGTCTGCAGAGAGAGAGGAAGAGGCTGGCTTATATCTCACTCAGTGTATATTATTGACTCATTATTGGCTTTCCCAGCTTTTATTTGTACCTCTGTTTGCTCCTCTGGTGATGACTCGCGGAGACATTCAACTGGAGCAACATTTGAGCCTCATTACGTAGAGCACAATATTGAGAAGATGTGAGATTTGTCTTTCTAATGTCGGTTCATAAACTCTGCATATTTGAAAATCTTCCATGTATGGAGGATTATTACTTTCAAGACTTGGTTAGAGGATCTTTTATAGAATTATCTTTGACATTTTCTTGTAAATGAAAGTGAAAGTCAGTGTTGCTTCTTGCATCACCACAACAACAAAAAAAACATGGTTAAAAAAAACACTTCTTGTTGACGTCTTTCATGCGTCAATAAGGAACCACAGATTGTTTCTGCAGCAGAATCTTTGAATTGAAAAGATGTGGAATTTTTCCAGCACTGTCAAATGTGAATTTCTCGCCTTGAAATGTTGCCAAAAAAAAAAAAAAAAAAAAGGATTTAAAATGGCAAATATTTTCAATTATCATTTAAGCAATATTTTTTTTGGGGCCACTTTGCAAATATTCAACAGATCACAAAACTTGAATCGATAAGCTAGATGGTTAATTGCCATTTTATGGGGGTGCCAGATGGATTAGTGGTTATGTCACATGCTCCATGTACAGAAGCTGTAGTCCTTGTCACAGCGGTCGCTGGTTGGAAACCGACCTCTGCCCTTTGCTGCATGTCATTCCTCACTCTCTTCAGCTGTCATATTCTAAAAAGGCACTTAAAGCCAGCCAGACATGTCATATTCGAAAAATTCCTGTCTACCTTGATATTTGTGCACACACAAGTATTCTGTTACATTTATCTAAAAGAAAAAGCTAAACTGAATTCTTCTCTTATTTTGTAAAAAAGAAAAAAAACATCTGCACCATATGTTGATTAAAGCTACAGTAGGCAACATAATAATACGAGAATTTTGGTTGAAATAACACATTTCTTTCAATATTGCATGCCACTAACAATAAAAAAATATATATTTTAAATAAATGGGTTTCTAAACAGAGTTTAAAAAAAACAGCTGGTCGGGTCTGAATTAAAAACAACCAATCAGAGTTGGCTCGCACACAACTAGCCGATTACCGCTATGTTGTTCAAACTAGCATCGTCGATCACCTTCTCTCACTCTCTTCGCCTCGGTTTTTCTAAAGGTGGAACAGGAACAGAAAGTTGGCAGCGACAATGGTCAGGTGCCGGTTGGTGCATCATTTCGGGGGAGGGGCTTCGAGAATGTTAAGGTTACTTACTGCAACTTTTAGCAATGTTTAATACAGTTTAAGAGCTGTATGAGAGAAAATATTTGGATTGTTTTACATTTTTTTCTCGTTTTAGTTTGCATGAATCAAGCACTAGATTAGCCTAGCTTAGCATAAGGCGGCAAACATCCACGCATTCATTACGTCATCAGGGCTAATTATCAAACAGCATAGATGTGCGAGGATAACTTTTTATCTTGACATTTGGACATTTTAAAGCATTTATATTCTATATTCAATGCTCCAGTAACGTTTGAGAAGATACCCCGTCACCTTAAGCTAAATGGACTATTTCAAAAACTAGTATAATGGAAAATTAATTGACTTAAAGTTGGAAAAACAAGCAGTTTTTTCTGACTGCTAGTGATGCTGCTGCAGTTTGAAGAGGCTAATTAGTACTGTACTGTGCAAAATCCTTAACAATGTATTCAAGAGCGATGTTTGTTCCATCAACTTGTGTTACATAACTGCCTGCAAACAGCTCTTCTCTGGAGTTTTACACTCTTGACAGGAGACGGAAAAAATTGGATTGTGCTTCACAACTAATAAGCTATGATAGCTTTTCCTGTTTTTTTTTTCCATTTCATGACAGCTTGCTTTTGTTTATCCAAGTTCACCAAAGTTCAATCCATCAATTGCTCTGATTCCACCGAGGTGAACTGATCTCATGCGAAATGTTGTTGTTTTTAGATGCTAATGTGACACGGCTATTAAATGTGTCATGATCTGATCGTAACGCAATGTTTTTATGATTATTATTTCGGTCTACCGGGGCAAACACATCTTAATCATGTCTTAATAACATGCCGAGTCTCGCTCCGTAGCCACAGGAATGCAAACACAGGATTGATATCAATCTCAAATAAGAATATTTCCCCTAAGACTGAATATTCCTTTCAAGCTTGTAATACTGTGCAGCAAAAAAACATTTTCTAATTTATTTATTTCTCTACGATTCTACTCAAGAAACTGCCGAACAAGGAGAAGAAAACGAGGGAGAAGAAAGTGTGAGGGGGGATGAAATGACGATCGCCGATGGAGAGAAACAGAGGAAAAGAAGAGATGGAGCGGGTCATTAATGTCGGCTATGTAGCTCGCTCATCCTGCCAGTATCCAGCAAGAAAAGGTCAGCCGCTGGAAATGAGACCGCCGCTGCTCGACCACGCTTCATTTAGACAATGACCTATAACACTCTGATAATACTTTCCTTAAATCACTCCGCGCGGCCAGTTGTCTGCCTCGTCTTTGTGTGTGTGTGTGTGTGTGTGTGTGTGTGTGTGTGTGTGTGTGTGTGTGTGTGTTTCCAGCTTGTTAATGGGAGAAAATACTGACACAGGCTGATGTCTGTGACAAGAGTGTTTCCATCTAACAAGTGCAGGCCGTGACCCTGCAACGGGTCTCTTCTGGTTGTGGGTCAGAATCGGCTTTTGTACTGAAGCGCTTTAAGAAGGCTGAGTGACAGAGGAGCGCGATGGAAGACACACATCCATCCCATCATGCTTTGAAGTGCGACAAGAATCATGTTGTCCTGTAAGATGATTAAAAAGTCTTTCTATAAACTGATATCATCAAGGTATTAGAGGCTCTGCTAAACTGTTTTTGACAATTTCTCTATAGAGACATGATTTATTGTCAAAGTTTGAACATTTTTAGAGTTGTTTGTTATTCTATGTCTCATGTCAACTGGCATGGCCGTGAGCATTTAGTCGAATTAAACTAAGCATTACTTCAGCACACATTCACATTCAGCACTGTTGCACAGATGGCTATCATTTGAGGAATTGGCTTAAATTTGACAGTTTACATTAGTTACGTTCCAGTGCTAATGTCGCAGATACCTGTTACGCAGTTAGAAAGGTGACATCATCCTGATAAGTCAATGCCTCTCGTTGACCTATCCTGTACGACGTCCGTATCTTTCATTTTTATGTCGGCTGCCCTCGGAGGGCAATTTCCCCGGCTCTGATTCTCACTCGTCCGAGCTTCAGCCGGAATGGTCCACTTGGTGTCTGAAAACACCGAAATGACCAGACAAACCCTGCACCAAAACATTTTTTAAGGACACTGGCATTTCACAAAATCCCATCTATCTGTCCTTCTTCCTCTGTAATGAAACCGAGCAGCTCTACTATATTTGTTGTAAGCAGTTTTTTTTTTTACCCTGTTTGCAGTGGGGTAACGCGCCAGCTGCATTAAGTGGGCCATTTATACGATGGGGGCAATTCATCTTACAAAGCCGTCTTATTAGACTGTCACTTACACAGTATGAACAGTGCCTTCAAAACACCCCGAGGGATTTATCTGTTATTTTACTGCGGGGGGAAAGAAAACAACACCTAATTGGACTGAGTCATCTCATCTTCTTCAGGAGTGAAACAAAAGATATAGATATCAAAAATCTAACTGTGCACAGGGAGTGTGAGAATGTTTGGTGCAGCTGAAGCGTTTGAACTAACATCCAAATGTGTTTAAATGTTTTGGTCATGCAGATGGATGAGGCAACAGACAGTAGGGAGAGAGAGAGAGAGAGAAAGAGAGAGAGAGGAGGAGTGATTGCCTGTCTGTGCTGTGAGGAAAGTAATCTCAGAGCAATCAAGAAGTGTGGGCGTCCGACAGCTCTGCGGTTTGCCTTCTAAAACCACCGGGCAGGTAGAGGAAAATCATTAGGCATCGCTCCTGACCCCATAGGTCACTTTTATTGGACAACCGCGGTGTTTCATACTAAACCCACGCTGACAGAGACAGACAGCAAAGGTATGTAACTAACAAACTGACTAACAACCAAGGGGGGATTGATAGAAGAAAAGAGAGGGGGGGGGACTACAGACAGATAGATCAGTGACAGAAGGTCAGACAGCTTCATAGCAACAGACAGGTTACAGAGAGAGCTGCACCAACAGGCAGATACATAGATGTACTATCTGATCCCAAACTGGGAATAAACATAAACACTCACAGGAGAACAGGCAGACTGTAGACAGACAAAAGAAGCAGCCAACCTCCCATGTTAAAAAAATGAGGCCAATGTGGAAGTGAAAAAACGTGCAGTTCCTCTTGTGTCCACTTGAGGCCGCCTCCAAAAAGCCAAAGAATCCCTATTAGGTCAGAAACCAGTTGGTGACAACACCAGGACAATTTTGTGTATGAAAGAAATGTCCAGATGTTTATTTTTTTAAAGACTTAACGGTAGCACACTGGTCACACTAAAGCGTCCCACAATGCACTGCGGCTCAGAGACGATCCTATTGCAGAGCTCGCAGCCAGAAAAAAGTGGCATATGAATAAAAATAACCGTACTGAAATACTTTTTATAGTTGCCATATACCTTTGAAATGATCGTGAAGCTGCGAAGCTTTGCGTACTAACGGTACCGCTAGCTTGACGCCAGCTTATCCAACGTTTCTCGCCGTTCTAATTGTCAGGTTAGTCAGCAGTATGCAGTACACACTGTTTGAGTATGTAGGAGGCAGACACAGCTTTGTCTCTCATTTAAAAAGTCTATGAGACTGACTAATACTACAGACAGCCAGCTTCAAAGATAGCTAGTTAAAAGACAACAAACACAGAGAGATAGCTAAAAGGACAGCTAATCAGCTCCAAGCTTGCTAGCTACAGCGTACACCTGTAAAGCTAGTGGAAAAATAGGTGACACTAAGATAGATAAGTATGAAGAAGTCAACATCAGCCACCTTTAGACAAACAGATAGATACTAAAGACAGTCAGCTACAAAGAAAGCTAACTACGACCAGAAATGGAGAGACAGCCTGAAGGATAGGTAATCTGTATGCTAGCTAGCTAGCTAACTGTACGGATGGAAAAATAGCCGATTAAGAGATAATGTAAAGAGAAAAGCTGCCAAACAGCTAGCTAGCCTCGAAGACCAAAAAATATATGATTTAAGACGGTATGATAAGAAGAGATAAGAGAGTAAGACAGCTAGGTAAAGAGATAATCTTCCAGCTAGCTAGCTACTCTACATAGCCTGATAGCATTACAGACACATAGATAGATAAATAGACAGGAAACAGATGGACAGACACATTTGGAGGCAGATATTTTTAAGTTGTTTCTGGGGAAAAGTCCAGAGAGAAGGTGGGGGGCCGAGCTAGTATCCAACAGCGTCTCTTCAGTGCTGCCATTTCAAATCGACAGCGAGGCTTTTATCTCTCCCCAAGAGTCGGTCTAAATAGAGCATGTGGTGTTTTTTTTTTGGTTTTTTTTATTAGCAAGTCTTTCGCTCACTGAGTATTTTTGTTCTTTAAGAGTAGAGGGTTGGAATCAAAGTGCAAAAGGCCCTGCAGGGGAAGCAGGAGTGGGATTGAATTGTAGACCGTTGGGGGGGGGGGCGCACAGGTAGCAACAGAGATGAGAAATTAACCACTTGAAAATCTCTGGCCATTAATAGATGTCAAGGCGCGAGTGTACGGGGGTTGGCTCTGTAAGAAAAGGACGCCGCCAAGTTGTTTCACACCGCTCTTTGGATGTTAAAGGGTAATAGGGGTTGATAGCTCGCCTGTTAAAACCTAAACGGCTTATGTTCCTTTTCAATGTTAAGTACTCGCCTTTAAATCAGCGCTGTGCTTGCTGCCACTTCAGCTTCACCCTTCAATAACTCTGCCCCCAAATATCTGCTCGATTTCAGAGGCAACTCTCAGGTCACGGCTTTTCTTAGACTCTGCTAGTCTGGCAATTTTTTTTTTTACAGAGCTCTTCATATTGCACGCGGTGTAATTAGTTCTTTGTAATTAGCGCAATTTATTGCTTTGCATATTCCCTTTGAGACACGAGTGCTTTAACACAGAGGTCTTAATTTGCAATATTACACACTGTGTAATTGGGAAGTTGTTTTTTTCCACATCACTTTAGAGACTTGCAGACATGTAGACATATAACCAGAGAGGACAGGGGGAGCAGGTTGTGTTTCAAGGATGAGCTGGTGTCGGGAGGGAACTTGTGCCTTTTTATGTAATTAGATCTCGCACCACTTTATTAAAATTAAGGAAAAAAAAAAACAATCAGAAGCTCAGCAGTTTTTTTCTGGGCGATGATTGAACCTCAAATTCTGTGTGTATTTTTGGTGCTCCTGTTTCATCAGGCTGCACTCTGGAGATTAGTGGGTTTAAATCAATATGTCCTGTAGCTTCATGTGTGCAGACATAGGCAATATCCCCCCAACGAGATGCCAATAATAGTAAGAATAATAACGCCAAAGCCACATATGGAATGAGATATAGTCCCTTATTAGTTTGAAGTGATGATATTAAACAGCATTATATGGGCAGGTGACAATGTGGCACCAGCCAATTTCCCTAGATATGAAAAGGAGAAGATTGCAGGTGGGATTACCCTGTGTGTGGTCAGGGGGGAGGCGGCCGCCAGCGCCGGCGCCATTGTCGCCTTGCTCTCCTGCTGATTGTTTGCCTTTGAGCTGCTGCTTGTCGTCCTCCTCCTCTGCTTCTCCCAGTTTCTGTTTGTCTTCCCTCTCCTCCTCCTCCTCCTCCTCCTCCTCCTCCTCCTCCTCCTCCTGCTCGCTCTGTTTGTCTTTGCGCGACTTCGGATGCTGGTGGGCTTTTCCCCGGCTGAGCTCTGGCTCGCTGTCGGAGCTGGAGAGGACGACGCATGCCCGGTCCGGCTCTGATGAGGAGGGGGGTTGCCGAGGCCTGGGTGGCTCTGGGCCAGCAGAGAAAGATAGAGAGAGAGAGAGAGAGAGAGAGAGGAAGATTAGTTTATTGGCCGAGTTGCAGAGTGTAATCAGACTTTGAAGAGTTTCATTCCCCTGGCGAGATATCCATCATCTGAAGAGTGTGACAGTGTGATAAAATGACTCCTGACATGAAAGTAAAACTCAATATGGCTCATTAGTGCTGTTATAAGCTATCCTAAGCCTTTTACTGACAACTTTAGAGAGGGAGTGATTGTGTGTAATGGGGAGACATATGCGGGGATGCATTGGAATGTATAAAGAACAAATCTTTAATGGAAGATTTGCATCATTTGAAATCCTTATTGTATCTATTCTTGGTTGCTGATTGTTACATTTTGTCAAAGCCCATAGACTTTAAAGCATATCTGTATTGAAACACAAAGCTGCAGATTTAACACCTGGAACCCCCCCCCCCTCCATTTCAACAGTTCTGTGATCAAATGGCCAATAGAATTTGCAGGGAGGAATAATGCTCATGTCACGTTGTTTGGCTAATTGCCTGCCTGCATCATGTGCAATCAAAAACCTAAACAAAATAATTGTCTGCAACTGCTGCATCTGTGCCGAGTCCAGCAGCGAGCGGTGAGCGCTAACCCTCGAGAAGGATAAAATTCAGCGACTGGAAGCCATTGAAAACACTTTCTTTCTTTTGTATGCTGTGTTTTGATTTTGTTTTTAACCTCAATGTAAAGCACATTGAGCTTATGTGTAATGAAATGTGCTAGTGCCTTTGAGTTCAGTGAATATTGCTGTTGCGGACGTAGAGTAAAGCTTGAGGGGGGGGAACCTGGGGTTGGCTTTCACTCGATTTGGGGCACTTTGGACGGAGAGCGACGCAGAGTTGGCCTGCTTTTGTGTTTGACAGGCAGGTGTCAAACACAGCTATTTAGCTAATGCTAGCTTGCGCGATTATCCGCTTTTCCAGTACAGTACGTGTGATATTCTGAGGTAGCAGTAACTTGACACATCTTGACGTTTCATGTCATGTTTGCGTGTGGTTGCTGGGCCGGGTGGGATCTCGCCATCAGAGGCAGTGGGCTGGCGCTTCTTGGTGGCGATGACTCCAGGGGGAGGGGCCAAATTTGAAAGTTTGGGTTTTACAAGCTGCAAACTACTACTGACTCCCCCTTTTAAAGACTCAGCGTCACTGCACCTTGAAACTTGTTCCGCGGTGACTTTTATTCATATCAAACACCGTCGTTTTTAAGAAGGTCAAGAAGGAATCTAAGCCCCAAAAATGTTAATGGATGCAAGGATTAGGCCCTCGCCGTTCCACATGATTTGAAATGGTTGTTCTACGTTTGGTTTTTCCGAGGCCCTGCTGCTCATAAACTGAGGGGTTTGACGGCACAGATATTTATTTTCTAGGTTAACAGAGAGATAAGCAAGAAGACAGTTATTAATAACCGAGTGTAAAATGTCACTTCCAGTCTGAGGCGAACTTCTCCAAGAAGAAGTGTTATTCTTCTTCCTCACTTTCCAAGTTAAATTTAAATCGTATCCTTTCACATTATTTGTTGAACTTGAGGTGTGAAAAATCGAACAAGACAGTAAGTTGTGAGACTCCGGGACGCAGAGGGCTAATTAGTGATGCCGCCTCTGCGCGGCTTGTTTCTTTCAAAAGGCCAGCCTCCCCTTAAATGTCATCCGAGTCTCCGGGCTCCTGGTCCCCGCCGCCGCCGCCACCCCCCTCCCCCCCTTTCGCTAACAAGCCGAGCGAGACCGCGGAGAGACGGCTCAATTTGTGTTAAGCTGTCCCCGCCCGAGGAAGATGTTAACGGGGAAATCCAACATGGGCCGTGCCTCGACTTCACCAGTCTACCCTCTTAGTTTCCCCTCCAATCAGGGGGCCCTTATTATGTCTGCAGCGGGCTTCATAAGTGTCCCAGAATGGAGTCTGGAACATCCCAGACGTTCAAAAAGTAGGATTCACACGAAAACCAACACACTATTACAGTAGTTCAATTAAAGAGGAACTCTTCCATCGCAGTCTGCAGGGATTTAAAAAAAAACAGCTGCAAGACGGAAGCACTGGATCCTCTAAAACCGCCTGATAGGAAACAGTTAAAGACTTCACTAGATTTTCTTGTGAGGGCTAAAAAATCTGGAAGGAAACATAAAGGAAACCAAGGATGAGAATAGAGTGCTCTGGGAAGTGTAGAGAGCCAGGAGACAAACAAATTGCCCTCTTCCTGTATACGTCTTTCACAGTAAGGTGCTGAGAGACAAATTGCTGGTCGACCACTGAAAGAGCAGAAGAAGTGAACCGTGCCCACGCTACTGGCCTTAAAAAAAAAAAAAAAAAAAAAAGCTGCCAACATGGGAACTCAACACCACTGATCCCAGCCCCGGGAAGAAAAAAAAAAATGGTTGAACAGAAGCTGTCTGGGTGTTTACTGGTGAGTGTTCAGACTAATCCACATGAGATGCAGAACGCCGTCTTTATTTTTTTTTGGGAGGTTATAATCCGTGACAGTTTGATTAAAAAAAAAAAAAAAACAGCGCTCCGTAACTTTGCAAGCGGTGATTAAATTGTTGTCCAATTAATGGAAGCTGTTGTTGTTGTTGAAATGATTATAAATGAGAAATGATGGCCACCAAAGCTAAAGCAGTAGAAGAAGATAAAGATAAGGAAAGCCATAAACCATGAATAAAAACTCATCTTTTAACTTTAACTGTACTAAAACTTGTTTCGATTTCTCTGTAAATTTGCTAAATGTTGTCCGCTGGGCTTCAGTGAGAGAGTTGCTTGATGCAGCTCTTTCAAAAAGGAAGCAAAAGGAGCAAACGTTCAAACTAAACACATGTTAGAAACTGGCTAACTTATGCTCCCTGTCCAGTGTCCACATCGGGTTTCTTTTTCCGAGCAGAAAAGCGCTGCTGGCTGTGTCATGTTTTTTTTTGTTTTAGATTGTTTTTTTTCAGACCCAGAGCAAAGAGGATGTGGGTACAAGACACGACCAGTAGGCGGGAAAACTACAGGGTCTATCCTACATTTGGAAAATGAGCGTCTTTTTCTTACAAGCGCACTTTCTGAAAAGTTTTTCAACCGTGTCCATCCTAGCGTTTTTTTTTTCTCCGCACCAACGTCTTTTTCCAGTTGTTTTCAACGGGAAGAGAGCGTTCACAGCAGAAAGCGGCCACCTGGATGAAAATCTCTGCCGCTTTTGTGCGCTCAAGTTGAAAATCTTTTCAGAAAGGCGCTGCTGACGTCAGCGGCGCTCTTTTCATAATGTATGATATTCTCTGTATTTTAGCCTCCTAACAGATCGTGTCTTGTACATCACATCGGTTAAAAAAAACGATCTTAAATATTAAACATGCAGTCAAAAGTAATGGAGCAGTGTCGGTCATACAGCGGACGTTGTCAACGGACTGTTGTCATGGAGACAGGACGGGCGAGCAGCGCTCAGAAACGCAATGAATGCAAACACTCCTGAGCGCACAGCCAGCGTTTCTCTTCCTGGATATAACGTGAGGTGGACATGGGGGGGGGGGGGGGGGGGGTACAGCTGGTAACAACTGGAAGCATTACACGTCCTCGCAGTTGAAATGCAAGACTCAAGTGGTAACCCAAGTATCCTTTCACTGACAACATTTTACAGTTTGAAGGTGGAAACGTTTTAAAAAAGCAGGAACAGTAGAGAAGGAAAATGGCTAAAGTGAAGGGTCTATTTGTCAATTTGACACTCGGTCAAATTTAACCTGCTTTTAACCCGCCATTTCTGTTAACACCTCAAGGTTCCATCAAGGTTTCTGTTTATTATTTTGGGCTTTTTTTTTTTTTTTATCCCTGTGCATTCTGCTGCAACAGACTAATATCCTTTTGCACGATGACTGTTCTTCCTCTACAGCTGCCGTCTTCTTTTTTTTTTTTTTTTTGGCCATGCTGCTCAAATCCACAGACACCAAAAGCCAAAAGCCTGTGAAACTTCTGCTGTCCCATTACTTTGAATATGAAGCCCTTCTGCGTCGGCATGCTGAGGAATCTTTTTCTTAATTCCACTGACACAACCCGTGATAGTGTCATATCTTTTATGGGCTGTTGTTGAAATAGCATCTCTCATGTCACACTTTAAGGTCTCACCTGATTATTATTATTTCTTTTCCTCATATTTCCACAAGCTGGGGATTGCAGTGCCAAGTAGTGAGACATCTCCATAAACACTGGTTGTTATTTTCCAGCACAGTCTGTCATTTACAAATTTAGCAGGTTGTTAAATTCCCCATCTAGCGGGGCTGACACTGCCTGCTGCTGTGAATGCAGAGCGGTGCTTGTGACAAAGAAGAGAGTGTGATTGCTGAATAGTTATTAAAGCATCTGCTGCAGCATGAAATATGAGGGGGGGTTGTCGGAAAAATGTGTGTGTGTGTGGGAGAGTGTGTGGGTGTGTGTTTTTTTTTTTTGCGCTGCTCGACAGGCTGAGGTGCCGAGTGTGTGTTTTAAGTGCACCCTTATCCCTTCCAATGTACCGAGCTGCAAACAAACCTGCAGCACAGCCAGCATGTCCTCTGATGTACTCACACAACATCACCATTCCTTTACTCGCTTACAAAGACGCATGTCACTAATGCGAGACAGCTTTGAATTGAATTCGCAAATATAACATCATTGTTTGGAGTTTTGCTTTGTTTCTCGTTGTGTTCTGTAAATGTGTGCAGCACCTCCGTTTTTTGTTTTTTTTTACGCTGCAAGGATGGAAGTTGGTCGAGAAAAAGGCTTCAAAGCTGAAACATTACACACTGAGAAAGGTTTTTCCTGTCAATGGGGTGGTTTCTGCATACCTTAAAAAAATGTGGTTACTTGGTGTCTGCACGTTTTTGGTCACCACTTTTAGTGAATTTATTATTCCAGGTGCTCTGATGCCTTTTTTTTCCATCCCAATACTGATTCTGTTACAAAGATTAGAAAACCGTACAGCTTGGGCACAACGTTAAAGCAGCATTATCGGCTTACATCAATACAAATCAGGCCTGTCAGCATTAATGTGTTAATCTCGATTAATTAAGGTCCCAATTTTTTTTTTATACATCATATCAATCAAATGCTTTTTTTAAATATTTATTTTTGGGGGCTTTTTGTGCCTTTAATGGAGAGATAGGACAGTGGATAGAGTCAGAAATCAGAGAGAGAGAGTAGGGAACGACATGCGGGAAAGGAGACACCTCCCCCCCGTAGTACTACAGCCACCAGAGCTCCAATCAAATGTTTTTTTGTCCCTTTAAGGACACTGTGACATTGTCTTTGTAAAGTCTCCCTATAGTCAGTGATGGAAAAGAACGACACCTCTGCACCTTTGAAACTCTTCGAATCCGGCCTGTGGCTTCTTTCCCGCATGTCATTCCCTACTCTCTCTCTCTCTCTCTCTCTCTCTCTCTCTGATTTCTGACTCTATCTACTGTCCTATCCCTCAATTAAAGGCACAAAAAGCCCAGAAATAAATCTCAACAACTCCTTAAATCTTAAAAAAATCAATCTTAACAACGACTACTAATTCTGGTGCCATCTAGCAAAGCTGACAAAGGTCAATAGTTCAGTTGGCTAATCACGCAAATCTCTACTTCACGACTTCGTGATTGTTCCTTCTTCGACTTGAGAGTTGTGAATTCAATCGCTCGTTTCTTTTCCTCTCATCACACTTCTTCCTCGACTGTTTATTCACAAAAGCCTGCCATGAGTCAGACAGCAGGAGAAATGGTCCACAGAGTTTTCTTCCAAGCTTCGCCAGGCCGACAGGAAAAGAGCAAGAGGTCATGTGACATGAGTCATCTCGGCTTCTTTGGCGTTCTGATACTTTGAATACATTAACAGCAAAGTCATTAATTACTGAGGACCTCGAATGTGTCACACGTCTTTCAACTTTCAGGTTGTGAAAGTTGACGAGTAATAACATGTGAAGTCATTAAAAGGTTTGATACAATGCTCAGATCTGTTTCGCTAATTATGATGTCTAGATTAGCTTAACTTAATTTAGCTTAGCATAAGGCCTGGGAGCAGGGAGAAAGTGCGAGCCAATAATAAGCCTGCATCAAATAAAGCAACATTATTTGACCAGGTCCTCCATTTTTATTCTCTCTACAGAGGAGTGATGTCTACTGTGAAAACTCAGGGGGGGGGGGGGGTCATTGCATTTAAAGAGACACACACACCAAAACGGAGCGTTCTCAGAGAGCTGGTTTATACAGGCTCACAAACCTCCTCTGGTGCTTGATTCATGTTATATTTTGACCAAAGCACAGCACAGATGTTTCATTTAGACCACAGGGGACTGTTTGAAAAGGTGGAAAAGGAGGGGTAATATATCCTCTTTAAATCTTAAGTTTTCTCCTAGTTAAATAAAGTCAAACATACATCAACATCCTTTCTTTCCAAACAATATAAAACATAGAAAATAAAAGGTTGGGAAAAATAGGCCAGAGATTGTTTTGTTGATGGGTAATCTTGTGAAGTAACTGTTTGCTCGGGAACAGGCGATAAAGTCTTTCCGACTTCCTACAAATTGTAGACATTGTTCAGAAGTTGTGATGTGATTTTTCTGTCAGGTGTGTTCACAGTAAGTACACAAGAGGTGTGTAATCATAGCTCAACATACAAAGCGTTTCACAGACAGACTCTTACGTCTAATGATGCTTTTTCTTGATGATTGAATCCCACCTATTAATCTCAGTTTTTGGGGGGGTGATTTGCAGACATACCTGATATCTGACATATCTGATTGTCTGACTTTAAATCCATCACAACCACAACATCCCTCAGTGGAAGAAAACCCACTGAAAGTAATGCCGGCAAAATATGACATCTGCTGTTTGCGGCGTCAAATTTTGGGGGATATATTTTTGTGAAGTCGTTCCTGCGCCAATCTCGCTGCATCTCAGACATTTAAAGAGCGCGGACCTGCACGCCTGCCAGGTCATAACGACTTCCCTCCTCTCTCTTCAGGGAGATACAATCATAGGCTGTCAGAGATATCAGCTAGAGCTGGCTCAACTTTTTACACCCCCCCCCCCCAACTTTGTGTGAGGCGTTTGCAGCAATAGAAGGCCGCCTGCTCTCTCTCTCTCTCTCCCTCTCGCTGTCTCTCTCTCCCCCCTCTCTCTCTCTCTCTCTCTCTCTCAGTCTGACAGGTGAGAATTATACTGTGTCCTTGTCATCTGCACAGAGAGAGAGAGAGAGAGAAGAGCGAGCGAGAGACAATATTCTCCGAGCTATTTCCGACGCCGGCGAGCCTGCCTCCATCTTTTGCTATCACGCGTCTCCATCTGGTGAAATCTGTAATGCTGTTCAAAAGTATTATGTCAACAGACTGCTCCCATTGATATTGACGGGGAGGAAAATAAAGCAATGAACGGATTTCAGCTTCAGGTGCTTCATTTCAAGCAACAGATGATGGATTTATTGTCTTTTTTTCTAAATGCAATCCGGTTTGTTTTTGTTTTCCCGGTGAAATAAAGTTTGAAGACTAGTGTGAGATGGAGGTAGACACACACACAGTGAGGTGAATGAGTTGTTATTGCTCGTGTCTTAATCCTACCTGATATGGCAGCAGAAGGCGAGCGCGGGAATTCACACATCTCGCAGTAAGGCAACAGGCTGCTGTTGGAGTAGGTGCAGGCCCCGCAGCTCCACGGCTCAGCATTGCGGCGGTCTGGCTTGGCGAGCGTCCTCGGGGCGATAATGGACACCGCACTGGGGCTGTTGCTGGAGCCCATCGACCTCCTCTTCCCGTCAAATCGAGACCTGGGGCTCGGGCTCGGCTGCGGCGTCCGGAGCCTCTTCACCTGAGGCGAGAAGTCCACGTCGGCCGCGTCTGGAGTTTGCGAGCAGAGCTTTTCTTTCACTTCCTGTCCTCTCTCCGGGTTCGTTCCGGCGCCGCTCGTCTCCGAGGGGATGCGAGGAGATGTTCCTTCATCTTCTGTTCTCTTCCTCTTCTTCTCTTTGCCGCCGCTCGGGGAGAAGAAGGCGCGAATGTCGTGCTGCTTCTCTTTTTCAAACTGAGAAAAAAATACAAACTGAAGTTAGTTCTCTCCACTAAAGCACACGGTTACCAATGGTTACCATCTGTGACATAAATAATAGATTATAATAAACCTGTAACACGATATAAGATCCATGACACAAATATCTCTTGTAAGATGACATCATCATCATCACTTATTCCATATGATGTGTCATAGTGTGTGTGTGTGTGTGTGTGTGTCAGTGTGAGTGTTTTGTCTGTGTGTGTGCGTGTGTGTGTCTGTGTGTTTGTCCGTGTGTCTGTATGTGTGTATGTGTGTGTGTGTGTGTGTGTGTGTGTCTGTGTGTGTGTGTGTGTGTGTCTGTGTGTGTCTGTGTGTGTGTGTGTGTGTGTGTGTGTGTGTGTGTCTGTGTGTGTCTGTGTGTGTGTGTCTGTGTGTGTCTGTGTGTGTGTGTGTGTGTGTGTGTGTGTGTGTGTGTGTGTGTGTGTGTGTGTGTGTGTGTGTGTGTGTGTGTGTGTGTGTTAGGCTTAAACTGATTTTTCTCTCTTATTATCTTCTTACTGATGTCGGTGAAAGTAAAGACACACAGATTCATTCTTCTATCATGATGAATACCTTGAGAATAATTTAATGTTTTTAAACCAGAAAGAACTAAAATCAGTATTTTATCTCACAAACATCATCGTTATTCCTGCAGCTTAATGAGCTCTTGTGTTGCTTCTTGTTTACTGGATCGCCAAAGCAAAGACATTAAACTAAAAATCTCATATTTATAACTACGTATATATTAGGTTTGTATGATTATCATTCCACCATCTGGCTCTCTTCTCTTTGTCGAACTTTATGAAGCTCCTCTTTAAGGATGCCATTAAAGCTTTGTTATGAGTGACGGCGTTCTTTTCTCTTCAACAGTGACCAAAAAAAACAAGGCACAGCGAAACTCCCTTCAGCACAAATACAGAATACAGAAGTATGGATAAACGTCTTGTTTAATAAACCCTGAACTTTCATTGATCGGGTTTAGCCTGACTCACATGAGTGAAGAACAAGTCCTCTTTGACATTTCCTGAGTTCCCCTCCAGCGGCAGCGCCCGCTCGCTCGGCGTCCACGCGTCGGCAAAGTTGAGGAACTCCCACTTGTCCTTGTCGCCCTTGTCGGCATTCAGGTACTCCTTCCTGCCGTTCAGGGTTCTGCCCGTCACCGTTTCCTGAACAATATGGGACACTCAAGTTTAGGTTTTTTATTTTGCGCACTTTGTATTTCATTTGAGTTACTTAGAAAAATGTTCTGTTTTCAATGTGCTCTCCTTGTGGATTCTGGTTAAACAATAATCCCCTCCCCTGGTATCTCCACCCATAGACTCCACCTCCAGACTTTTGTGCAGGTCCACCATTTTTATTCTCACTACAGAGGAGTGATGTCTACGGGGAAAACTCAGGGGGGGCTCATTACATTTAAAGAGACACACACACCAAAACGGAGCGTTCTGAGAGAGCTGGTTAAAACAGGGTCACAAACCTCCTCTGGTGCTTGATTCATGTTATATTTTGACCAAAGCACAGCACAGATGTTTCATTTAGACCACAGGGGACTGTTTAAAAAGGTGGAGATGATATGTCCTCTTTAAAATCCACACACAAAAAAAAAAGGTTCTAACATTCATCAAGGTTTTATTACCTGGGAATGATTCGAGGAACATTCATGAGCACTCGTACACACATTTGAGTGCTGAAATGCCCGGGGGGGGGGGAATAATTGGTAACTGTATATTTCTCAAAGAAGCACATACATTTTTTTAAACAACATTGAAATACAAGTTGCTAATTCCTGGTTGTAGACAGAAAAGAGTAAAACAAATGTTCAAGATCTTGATGGTATTTTTTAATTAATGCCTTTATTGGATTGGACAGCTGAAGAGAGACAGGAAATGTTTGGAGGAGAGAGTAGGGGGATGAAATGTAGCAAATAGGGCCAAGACCCGATCTGAACCTATGGCTGACTGTAACCTCTGTACATTGGGCGTGCTACATAACTGCTGGGCTATCTGGTGTCCCATCTTGATGGCGTCTTAATAAAGTCAAACTTCCCTCTTTTAGTCAGGGGGGGTTGGCGCAGAAATGATTCCTCCTCAGGGCATGACAGAAAACGTTTGAGAAGCACTGGATTAAACAAACATCAGGACATCGATCAGTTTGATGTCACAAGAGTAATGTGGCCTGAACCTGAAGAAATGTCCCGCTCCACCTGAATTCTCTTCACCTTGACATATTCATGTGGTGGCGACTTAAAAGTCCCAATTTATGAAAGATGGATGTTTCATTATAATTCCATGAATGTAAAGACCCTATAATAACTTTGAGCGACTGAACTTGAAGTATGACATCATACCTTCCTGTTGAGCATGGACCACATGACGGTGTCGAAGGTGCCCTTGGCGATGAGGTAGTGCACGTTGACCGAGGACGTTTGTCCGATGCGGTGGGCACGATCTTCAGCCTGCTTAATGTGGCCCGGGTTCCAGTAGAGCTCAGCAAACACCACGTGGCTGGCAGCGGTGAGGGTCAAACCCTAAGGAGGACACACACACACGCACACACACACACACACATACATACACACACACACACACACACAGTAATACAGTTTAATGAAGCTCTTTTTAATAACAGAATATTAGCAGCTAATTGCAACACAAGAGCTTCGAGCACCCACTTTCTTTAATTGACACGAATAACATTTGTGCACATTTTCACTCACACCGACTGATCGATGTCAATGACTTCATTAAGCTTTTTTTTAAGGGATAAAAAACACTTTTATTTCCACTTTCTAAAAAACCTGAAGTATGACCGACCACAGCCTAAAATGACTATTCAGCACGTTTATTTACCGCATTACAGTTCCCCAGCATTAGTTAATTTCAGCTCTCCGATAAGTGCGTTCATGTGACTCTTTATTTTCTTTTCAAGGTCATTGGTGACTTTGTCTGAAAAGCAGAATAGTTTGAGTGATTGGAACAGTTAAAAAAAACAGCATCAGAGTGAGTTCAAGATGCTTTTGATCGAGTTCACTTAATCCCTGAATCAAAATAAAAGGATTGTGAGTGATGTGGAGTGTCTGCATTTTATGTGTGTGTGTGTGTGTGTGTGTGTGTGTGTGTGTGTGTGTGTGTGTGTGTGTGTACCTGACCGGCTGCCTGGATGCTGAGGACAGCCACTCGTGTCTCGGGGTCATTCTGGAATTTGTTGACCAACTGCATTCGCTCAGAGGACGGGACACTTCCGTCTATTCGGATATAACCAACCTGAAACAACACAATATTAAAACTAATTAGAGAAAAAAAATGACAGTGAATCACATGCACACACATGCACAGCTGATAGACCCCCTGCAACACGGGAATCTGAAATGTATCGAACTGTTTCTGATTCACTGATATGCAGTCAAAGTAATTTTCACTACTTAGAGAACAGAACAAATAAGTTTATTGCAGATAAAAAAAAACTCCAAAAGGTATTCTACTGTTTCTGTCTGCTCTACAAAACCTCTATTAGCACTTTGTTTTTGTTACTGACTCGCACATGAAGCTAATATTTTAATTTGATGCAAGTTTTCATGTCATTTATTTTCTTAATCATGGGACAGTTTGCGATTACAACGATCATTTTTACAGAGTCAACCAGTGTAAATCAGTCTCATAGCTCCTCAAAACATGTGTGTGAAGTTTCTTGTTGTAAATCCACTCTGATCCTGTATTTGATCATGCCTATAAACCCCTCTATTTCAGGCACGCTCAGAACAGGCTGTTTCTGTGTCTGTACCTTTAAATATGTAAATGAGCTGTGTCTGACCACGCCCCCTCTCTGGAAGGACTTGGGTTTCTCGCTCCATGTCCTATTGTTTACGGTGAGAAGGCAGACTCAGAGGGCAGAACAAACACCTAGCTCTGGGAGTGTCACCCACCTGGGGGAGGGGTTACTGCCCTTTGTGATGTCATGAAGGGAAAATCTCCAAACGGCCTGTTTGAGCACACAATTTCTGAAAAGTGGGGCAGGCAAAAGACAGAGAGGATGGACTTTTCTCATCATTGGGGGGTTTGTAGAAAGACTTGAGACACATATTAGTGTTAGGAAAACATGGTGAAGTGTATTTTACATAATATGTGACCTTTAAAGGCATAACATTAGCCTAATTAAGCTATTAGTCAATCCAGTCCACACAGGGCTGTGACCCTTCCCTTTAAAATTAAATATTTGGTCCAGCATTTGAGGCCAGACTAACAAAGTCCTTTGTTTTGCAAACAACCGGAGGACATAATGTAAGAGCGGCTATTTGCAAATTCCACTGAACTGACGACGGAGTTCACACAATTTGCGTGGGGGAAAGCATTGTCCGACTCTTAAAAAAAAAAAAAGCTGGTGCAAGATTGTGCAGGAACATTAAAGGCAGGGAGCATTTCATTAACCTGGATTCTAACATAGGGGCTATTTCAATGACAGCACTGAATGCATGATCAGAGGAGCTGCAGTGAGGTTGAGTAGATGAAAAAGCTTCTTTGAGAGACAATGAGAGATAGTAAAAAGTGTAGTTTTATAGCAGCAAACAAATACTGGAGCAGCTGCAGGTTCATCACACCTCCACTTGTACTTGACATTCACAGAGCCGCTAATGCACTACAGCGAGCGCATTCTTTTGATCCGGCTCTATTTGGTCCTGTGGAGCTGCTCAGTGGCCGACAGTCGGAGAGTGCGAGCGTACTGTGAAGCTCCCACATGTGGATGTAACTGTGACTGAATGAATATGAAGTAGGAGCTTGCTGAGAGCGACCGCAGAGGTCTGTTTGACTTTTCAAAGTGAAGGTCAGAAAATGTGAACCAGGTTTGAAAGAAAATAAAACAACATTTGGAAATCAACCCGGTATTGTGTTAGACATTTAGTTTGAAACTTTCACAACTTTAATAAACATCTGCTTCATCTACTCAAACAGCAGGTAAGAAATGGCAAAGTGTTAACGTCATGTGATAGGACCGCCGCTACTTGTCTCTTAATCACAGCTGCCTTGCCGTTCCTTTTTTTAGCCTGATCTCTGTTAATTGGTGAGTGCGAACACACCAGAGAGTGAGCATCTCGCCAGGAACGTGTCATCACACGTCTTACCGCTGCATCCCATTCAGCCGACACCTCTGCGACCCCTGCGTCACACACAGACACACGCGCCTGAACTCTTTCACAGGTTGCCGGCGCTCAGCTCAGAGATATCGGGTTTTCTTGTGATGACGGGTGAAATATGCCTCGAGACAATTGTTGAGGAAGAAAAAGTTTACTTTGCGAGAGAGAAAAAAAAAGTAGACTTTTCTTCAAGAGGGAAAAAAAATGTACACTTATATCATGAATAGATACCTTAAGCTCTTAAACCCCTTAGTCATTTTATTTTGAAAATATACATCTCTAGATATCTTTTTTGCACCTTTAATTTTTTAAGGTAAGTGAATAAGGCAAATAATTCCTGACTTACCTCTTCTGAATAGCCCTCACAGAAGCACAAGCCCAACTTCTGGGCTCAGAACTCAGTTTTTTTTTTCGAAGCTGATTTTAGATATAACAAGAATGTGACTTATAAACACGGTGGGACTGTGGGTGAAGGAATAAAACTCAGGTTTGGGACCAATTATCCCTCCTTAGCCTGGAAGGAGGAGTGAAATATGAATACATTCGGAACCTTTTGTGCTTCCAGGTAACCATTAATGGGCAATTCAGCTCTCTGCAGCTGGAAAAAAAATGATATTCTTTGTGCTAAAATGAAACATCAAACCATATAAAAACAGTTCTCTGTCTCGTTTCAAAATGATTGATAGTGCCAGAATAAGACAATATCTGATACTTTTTAAACAGGAGATTGGGCGTTAACGTTGTGTTTTTATAGCTCATTGGTGCTGATTTTGTCTGACTTGTAGCTGACAACAGCTCTGAAATTGTGAAATGAAATGGAAAATTAATGAATGGTTGGGCGGCATTATGATCAAGTCACACTTGTATTTTTTTCTTGGCTTATATATAAGTGGACATAACAAATCATGACATGTGCAAGTCCTTAAAGACTTCAAATTGACTGATTAATCGAAATATTAAGAAAGCTGAAGAGATAAACTGGTAGCTAGCTTTCCTGCTAGTTAGATAGCAAGACATTCTGATACATTCTGGTATATAGCTATCTAACTAGCTGGCAAGATAGGCGTGTGCTTCAGTGGGGAATATTTAGCTGATTCTAGTCATGAAGTATTTGCCCAGTCTCAAAACCCTGTGAATTCAACATGCTACAATGGCTGATGTTTACTTCCCTTTTTTTTTTTTTATATAAACGTTTCAGAAGCTCCCGTTGCCTCGGGTTACCTTGGCCTCGATGACGGCCTCGGTGCAGGCCTGCAGCATGGTGAGGTGGTGGGCGAACACCAGGAACTTCAGCTGCTCTGCCTCCAGCATCATCTTAATGTAGTCCTTCACTGCTCCTGCCTGGCCACACACACACACACACACAACAGAAATAGACACAGATGAAAGGAAGCTACTGAATCCATCACTTCACTGCTCGACCACACACAGAGGAATCGGCTAGATCAGTGAAGAAGTCAATTAATCACCGCGGCATCCTTTCTGTGTGATCGATTCTCTATTGAATGCCAGGCGTCCAGACTTTAAAGGGGAGAGCACACAGAGCGACTGGGGCACATTTGTCAGCTCGCAGATAGTGAGAGCAAATCAATAACTCACAACGAAGAGATATGATTGGTGTGTGCTGTTTGGATTTGGGTGAACAACACAATTCCGTTTTGGATCCACAAAAACAAGCAGAGAAATCCCAAATCTACTTAAAAAGAATGAAGAAGAACTGTGTTTATCAAGGGCTAAACAAGTGGATTTATTGAAGTTTAAGGGTATAAATATGAAAAATTCCAAATGGTACTTTATGTTCAACACCTAATGTGGCTACATTTTTATATTTCAGGCTTGACAATAACCCCTAAAGCAGATTTTGAGGCTGGTTACCAATGGCAGCTGCAGTCCAAAAGTACTGCAGGAAGTAGAAGTTCAGGTCAGCTCTTTAATTCTTGCTTTATTATTAAGTAACTGTTTTTTTTTAGTCATTGCTGGCTTTACCTGTTAGTCTTGTTTTAATTCAAATGGTAACAATGCTTTTAAAAACATCAGCGCTTTTACTCGTTTCTCCAGGAAGAATTTGGCCCTGATTGACAGCGTGACGCTAACGATCTCGAAAAGGAAAGCAGTAAGCAGTGCGAGTGAGTTAACTGTAGCCTGCAGGTATCGCTGCTGCCCGGCGATCACACTGGTGAAGGCTGTGGCCGTTTCCCCCGCTACCTTGGTGGATGAGCTGTACACGAGCGTGTCATTTGAGAATCCGGGGCTCGGCTCCTTTCAGAGCCGCGGGGCCCGAGAAAAATAAAAAATAAAAAAGCAGCCGAGAATAGCAGCAACTAGTGAGAAATACTGAGGTTTGATTTGAGTCAAACAGAGCCCTTACTGGACACTTTTGGAGACAGGCCTTTTCCTCCGTACACCTCCTGCAACCTGACAACCTCCGCAGCCATCACACCTGCTCTGGCGGGAGAACCTCGAGCTTTGCCTCGCTGATAATTAGCCGATGCGCCCGATAATGAATCTCTCCACCAGGCCTGCCGACCCCGCTCTGATCTGGGGGGTCCTCATTACTGACGGCTCGGCTTCGTCGGCTTTCCTTCCGCTGAGTTTAATTAGTGCACACAAACTTCCTCGGCTGTCTGAAGCGGGCCCGTTAGCTCGCTTTAAAGTCCAGCATCAGAGCTGTCCTCTCTGGGTAATTGGGAGCAGATGCTTGGCGGGTAAAGCAATAAAAATACCCCAAAGGCGTTTGGCAGCGCCGTCGCCAGGCCGACTGGCAGGCAAGGCAAGGGGGCCGCCATGCTCGTCATGAGTGACATAGATGCGTGGATCTGTCACCCAATTTCCACCCCTCCCCCATGATTTAAAAAAAAACCCAGAAAGAAAGTTTTTTTTTTCTTTTTTTTTTGGGTGAAGTAGAGAAAGTGTGTCTTTAAAAAAAAAAAAACAACAGGAGAGGAAATGAGACCAGTATCAGCTTTGAGGAGGGGGGGGGGGGCTTTGTAATGAAAGGAGGTCCAGTGTTAGGCTAAACCGAGCACAAATCCAATCACCACACAACACCAAGCGCAGAGAAGATCCAAGCTTGGAGGCAGGATGAATGAGTAGCGTGTCCATGATTGCATTGGGCGGTTATCTCCGGTCTTCGTTAACCTCGGGGGCTGCGCTCCTCATGCCTGAGGGCGTCGCGCTAATTGAGAGGAATTCAGCCCCTCGAAGACAGCAGGTGATACTTTATTTGTGGAAATGTTTACTATACTGACTGCCTTCTTCCAAAGCATCAAGATTAGGAAGGCTGGTTGAAAACTTACCGTTGTAGGCCCACCACTTTTACAAATGAGGAACAGGAAGTGTGATTTTTTTTTTTTTGTACTTCCTCTGACCTCAACCCTCCTCACACTGCATGCACCCAGCCACCTTGCCCACATTGCTTATTTCTCTCTCATTAAAAAGGAAAACGTCACTTCAAAAACCGAGAGCCCGCCGAGTCGCCATAGCAACAACATCACAGAGATGCTATTTCAGTGCGGTGTGTAACTTTGAGATAAGGTGTGTAATCATGCCGGGCTGGACGCAACTAAATAATACCTCCGCTATAACTCCCTACTTTGTCTAAGTGCTTTTCACTGGGCGACCATTAGGCTCTGTTACCATGGCGATGCTTTTCCCATGAGATCTCGCTGAGTGGTCGGCCAAGCGCTCTGAAAATGATGCTTTGCCGTCAATTCACCCTGTCCCTGAAACACCAAAAAGGATTTTAAAAATTGCCGTCTTAGACCACATTTTTAAGCTGTTTAAACTGACAAAAAAAACAACTGTGATTTGATTTCTGTCAGCGGTTTAAATCCTTTGTAACAAATATGACATCACATGGACAATAGTTTTTAGGGCACCTTTTAATAAATACTGAAGCTAAATATATCTTTGCTGATTTTGTCTTTTACATGTGTAAGGATGTTGTTGTTTTTTTTTTTATCTCATCCTGGTTTCTTTGAACAGTCAAAGGTATCACTCGTTGAGAATCTTCTTCATTGAAATTGTAAAAGTCTGTCATTACTGTTGAACTTGAGTGTGGCTGGACGTCCATCTCTATATTTCAGCCCTGTGATTTACTGGCGACCAATCCAGGTTGTATTCCCGCCTCTCGTCCAATGACAGCTGGGATAGCCTGTCATCTTCATGTCTGCATGTTTGCATTCAAATAAATCAATAAATCCGGCTAAAGTTTGCTCTTTCATTGTCTATCTTCATCTTAGCTTCATACTTCTGGAATCTTACAAACCTACCTCAACCAGCATAAATAAATCCCCCTCACCCTCTGAACAAATGAATGTTGGGGTAGATATAACAACCCCATGTGCAGTTTCAGACCTTTGGAGGCGGCCAAAGCGCACCAAACTGATTTTAACATATTGTTTCTTGTGGAGAGACCGGAGGATGGAGGCGCTCCCACTGACATAAACAACCCCACTTAAAAAATACCAAACTATCCCTTTAAGCTTGTGGAAGAAAACCACTTTTGAAATAAATAATAATTTAATTTAGGCAAACTGTTTAACCTCAGAGACAAGCTAGCTGCTTCCTGCTGTTTCCAGTCTATATAATAAGTTAGGCTAACCAGCTGCTAGTAGTAGCTTCCTGTTAGCGTACAAACATGAGTGGTATTTTTAAACGTAACTTAAAGGGGACATATTATGAAAAATCAATTTCTGCAGTGTTTTTGAACATTTATTTGGGTAACCTGAGTGTCTACTGACCCACAAAATGTGAAATACATCCACCCAGTCCTTTGTTTGTGTTCTGTTTAAGTTTACAACACAGAGAGAAATGCTCCGTTTCAAATGTGCTCTCCTTGTGATGTCACAATGGGATTCTGGTGAAAAAAAAAAAAAACATCCCCTCCCCTGGTGTCTCCACCCATGGACTCTACCGCCAGCCTCGAACAAAACTTTTACGCATGTCCGCCATTTTTATTCTCGCTACAGAGGAGTGATGTCTACAGGGAAAACTCAGGGGGGGGTCATTGTATTTAAAGAGACACACACATCAAAACGGAGCGTTCTAAGAGAGCTGGTTTATACAGGGTTACAAACCTCCTCTGGTGCTTGATTCATGTTATATTTTGACCAAAGCACAGCACAGATGTTTCATTCAGACCACATGGGACTGTTTGAAAAGGTGGAGAAAGGGGATAACATGTCCTCTTTAATTCCTTGTTTAACTTCTTCACAGCCAAGCCACATCTAACCATGAAGTCTTTGCAACTGAAAGCACATGGTGGCTGCTTTATTTTCTCGAAGCTGCAGAAAGTTAACATTTTTTTGCTGGTTTGATGAAAATATAAAACAGAGCGCAGTGAGAGCAGCTAATGTCTCGATGTTGACCTCAGCAAAAAGATGCTCGAGTGCATGAAGTTTATATGTTTGAGGCTGGAGGAAATAACCAACAATGTGCCCCTCGGTCTCCCTGACTCTCATCCCTAGACCTGCTGGTTCACACTCCTTCTGAAAAAGCTGTTTCCTATATATAGTATCAATTTCAGAAATTTTAACTCCCATGTACCTTGACAGCTTGGCTATGCAATTTTTGGCAAATGTTACAACAGAAGGAAACGTGTATTTGCCAGGGACTACTTTCAGCTGCGGATAAATACACATTTGGTGTTCTAGTGCGTATTTACGGCAGCAGGAGAGTGTTTGTGGGACTGAGACAAAAGCAAACTACAGTGTGTGTGTGTTCATGCTAATGAAGGAACACGATTCTCAGTGCTACAGTGTGGCTTTTTGGATACTCTCACAAACGTGTCAGTAGGATTCAGAAAAAACTCCAGCACCAGCTGGTCTCCGCGTTACCTTGGCAATGGCGGTTTGCTTGTACATCTGTGTGACCAGGCCCATGACCTGAGTGAAGGGGTTGTCCATGGCGAGGGCTCCCGACCTCAGTCCCTTCATCAGCCTCTCCCACTCGGCGAAGCTGGCTGAGGCCTCCTGCAAAAGCAAGGAGAGCGCAAAGACAGTGAGGCTGCGTCCTTTACCTCTTTTTCTCGGCTGTTTTTTTGAGATATAAAGGGCAAAACAATTAATGGTGCTGCCGGGTGTCCTACTTTTCCCTGGAAGAGAAAGAAAGAAAAGAAAAGAGGGAGAAAGATGGAGAATTCCCAAGGAAGCCTGCCCCCCCCCCCCCCTCTTCCGACCGGGCTGCTGTGTTAGGTGGGTCATGAGCATCTCCCAATTATAGCCGCCTGGTGACAAGCCGGGGTCGAAGATGGAGAAGCAGCCGGGCTGGTACAATAAATCAAAAGGCAGCCTCGCATGCTCTCAAGGTGATTGGCGAGGAGTATTTAAAGGCGGGCGAGGAGAGCGGTGGGAGCGGCTGCCGGGCGAGGAGCGAGCATATGCTTCCACCTGCTCATAAAGAAGGCACGCAGGGAGGGCGCTGCATTCGGTGTCGGCATGTAGGTTAGCCCTGTTTATCATAAAACTGGACTCATATGCATGTGAGCGATTTAACAGCAGGCCTTCCTCTCCATAGATCCTACTACAAAAAAAGCAGCATTGTGCTTAATGAAACTCCCATGCTATAACCCGTGTGTACCTTACATTTTAAAACGCCGAGCACTCCTTGACTGGTGGAACATTTTCAAACTTTTTAAAGCACTTTTTTTTTTCTTTTTTTTTTTTTTATCACTGCAGGTTATTTTCAGCGTTTAGGTAACAACTCTCCCATCCGTCTGACTTCAGGCTGCAGCTCCACAAAATGTGTCAAAAAAAAAAAAAGAAAAAAAAAAAGAAATCCAACAAGGAGCGAACACTTTCTTAACACGCCGCATATCAAACGGTGCAAAACTGTGAACCATATGGCACGCTGAAGGAAGAGGTGCCCTGTGCGCGCGATGGAAGCACACACACACACACACACACACACACACACACACACACACGTGTATAATGATTTGTGAGCGAGGAGGGGGTCGAAGAGGAAGGAGGAGGAGGGGTAAAATAAAGTGAGAAATAAAGAGAAGCCTTATTAATGCAGACGCACAAACATTTTCTGCATTTCTCTTCGTTCTGGGATTGTACAATGAGAAGATTTTTTTTTTTTTGGGTGAAACATGAAAGCTTTGCACCGTTTAGCGAAATCATTTGCATTTCAGTGGATTCAGACGTCGTCAAAAAAAAAGTCAAGGGCGGTTGAATGAATAAATAGTATCACATTCCAGGAGAGCTAAGCTTGTTTTTTTCTCCTTTATGTCTTCTCTCTCAGATGTTGCATAAACACTCTTTTTTGACTGTCGCTCAATGTTTATTTCTAATTAGACATTTTTACATTCCGAGCGTTTCTTTTTAATCTGCTGTGTGGAATGAAACCCCCCCCCCCCCCAAAAAAAAAACCCTGAGTGGCTAAACACTCCACCCTCGATGGTATTCACTAGACTAACACCGACGAAAAGGCCACGGCTGAAAACGTAAAGGGCAGGAGGGGCATAAAAAGTGTCTGGCTGTGGAAGATAAAAGCCGTCATTAGGGAGAAAATGAGATAGGAGGGATGAGGGTGAACTGGTGAGTGGTCCTGGTGCGCAGAATGAATCGCTAAAAAAACACGCTTCAAAAGATTGTTTAGAGAAAATAATGCCCGCCTCGTCTTTTATGTTTTATATTGTTCATATTTCTGAGCACAATGGCTTTCGTTTGGATGACTGGCCGCTTCACACCTCCCCTCCCCCTTTTTTTTTAGAGCTCTTAAAACCAGTCCATTTAGCTGGGAGCTGTCTATTCTTCATAGTGGACGAACACCTGAAAAAAAACACACACACACACACACACACACACACACACACACACACACACACACACACACACACACACACACACACACACACACACACACACACACACACACACACACACACACACACACACACACACACACACACACCACACACACACACACACACACACACACACACACACACACACACACACACACACACACCTCAAATAAATAAAAGAAGAAAAAGAAAAACACTACAGCTGCTACAGCCAGCGGTGCTTTTTTTTTTTTGTTTTGTTTTGTTTCCTCAGAAGATAAATGACCTCGGAGCTTATTTGGCAGCATCAGAGCTGCTGTTTCAGCTGAGCTCAGATAAGAGCGCGACGCAACAAAACACGACATGAACTTCTCCCAACACTTCCACGCCCATGTACGGTGGCCTAATTGGCATCGCCATGTCGAAACACTGACCATATTTAGCCCCTAATTACAGCGTCCCTTAACATTTAGGGAGATCGGAGCAACAACAAAAAAAAAAAATCCAGCGTCATCACTTTTCCCGGCAACTTCCCTTATTGTTGTGTCACTCCTCGACGCGTAATTAGCCTTGAAGAAGCGTCTGCGCTGTTGTTTCCATTCCTGCTGATATGAGAAATACAACAAAGGCTTCTTAGTGGACGCTTTAAATGTGTGGCGTTGTCGACGCTGGTTGCTACATGTGGGAAAATAACGCCTCAAAACCTTGACACGAGTGACCTAATGCTGAGAGTAGAGCACGCTGAAACCACAACTGTAACTTTGGGGATGCTAAAAGAGATGCAGACACCTACACACAAAACATGACATTTACTCAACAAATACCCTGCTATCTTCTCTCCGAGGGTGGAGAGGGAACGCACACACACACACACACACACACACACACACACACACACACACACAAAATGAACAAGCTAAACATATTTTCATTATCTAAGTCAAGGAGCTAATGTAAGCTTGATTAGCAGGATAGCTCATTTTATAGCTAACTTTTACTCTGGCATTGTCAATTCAGCGGGTACATTTGGAAAAGAAATGTGGCTGAAATCATCAACATTTCTTATTAGTATGACACTAATGAAATATTAAGATGTTTAATCTAAGTCAGGGGTGGGCAACTGGCGGCCCCAATCAACCCTCAACGGGGCCCTTAGGTCATTTTTTTACATATGCAATAATTGGAAAACATGACAAAATCTGCCATGAAATCATGAAAACCAGAAATATGTCCATAATAATACTTGATCAGTGGTATATGTTGAGTTAAATTTGAGACATAATTGACTGTAATCGTTTTTGTATCCTACAATTTGGCCCCCTGGCAGTGAGAATTAAATGAATGTGGCCCTTGCCAGCGCTGATCTAAGTTATGAGAGTAATGTTACATTATCGAGTTAATTAAAAGTTTGACAAGGAGTTAGTGGAGGCTCATTTGTTTGTTTTCTTACGCGTCATATAACCAAAAAATCTGTTGTTTTTTGCTTTTAATCAGCATAGCATTACACTCTGAATGTAATTTTATGATTGCATGTGAGACATTGATTGACTTAACTTGATAAGAGCTAAAAACAAAAGAAAGAATGGGCTGCATGTAGGAACTTTTTTCTCACTCTAAAACTACATTTCTCTCTCTTTTTTGTCCTGGGAGCTTTACTCGTCCAAGTATTCCAAGTTGGATTCACCAAACTCTCTAAACTGCACAAAGCTGTCTATATGCAACCATCTGTTCCGCTCTGTTTGTGGGCAAGTTTCATTCATTAAGTTACCCGAGGGGGGGGGGGGAGAAGAAGAAGAACTGGACTTCACCGCAGAGTTTGAAGCACGCTGTCAGAAGTCAGCAGACAACGGAAAACATGCTGCAGTGTCAGTCGTCGGAACAATTACAAAATATGAATTCATCAGCGAGCGATGTGTCATCGGAGCAGCACCACGCTGTCGCAGAAATTAAAGAGGGGAATGCTTTGATTTGAAGTTAGCTCCTTGGGAAGATCTCTAAAAAAGTGAAGTGGTCTGTGACAGGGGGGAGACAGTAATGGGGTGAGAATAAAGAATATTATGAAGTTTATCACGCTGTCCCCAAAGATAGCTGCTACACTGAGAGGATTTACAAAGCAACAGGATTTGATCAAAAGCTGCCATGCCTAAATATAAAGTCACAAATCTCTCAGGATTTCAGTCAGTTAACTCAAAAAGACTAATGAAAGAGATGGACTGGGAAACAAAATGCTCTGTACCTGAGCACGATTTTCCTGAGTTGTCTAATTTCTGATTGAGGCATTGGGAAAAAGTAGAGAGTAGGGATGTACTAAATGTCTTTGTGAAGACATCAGGGATTGGACGTAGAATAATATCCAGATGGTATGAAAGATTTCAAGACTCTGACTCAGTTGGTAGAGTCGATCGTCTCTCAACAGGAAGGTCGGGGGTTCGATCCCCGGATCCTGCAGCTACATGTCCGATGTGTCCTTGGGCAAGACGCTTAACCCCAAGTTTCTGCTTTGTCTGTGTCAATGAATGTGTATGAACGGGATTAGCTACTTCTGATGGTTACTTTATATAGAAACCACTGCCATCAGGGTGTGCAGAGGCGCTGCTTGTCAACAGGCAAGGGAGGCAACTGCTTGGGGCCCCAGGCCAGTAGAGGGGGGGCCCCCAACGGCTGACAAACTTTGAAACCAAAGCATTGCTTCAAATTGTGCAAATTTAGCAATGACAGGGGGGGGAGTGCTGTCAGATGCCTTGCAAAGCGTCACAGCACGATTCCTGTAAAAAAACCAAAATTTGTCAATGAAGGAAAATGAAGAGGAGTTATCCATCTGGGGAAAAAGAAAGAGGGAAATTCATTGCAAGGGGCCCAATCGCCCGAGGGTGTGAATGTGTAGGCGTGACATGCGGTGTAAAAAGTGCTTTGAGTCGTCAGAAGACTAGGAAAGTGCTACACAAGCTCAAGTCCATTTAAAAAAATAACCGGGAAAGAGAAACAGGAATGGTTATATCTGAAGATGAATGGGGAAATATTAAAAAATGTAGTGAAATGAGAATTGATAAATGCACTTATTGTTTTGAATCTTGGATTATGCATGACCTCCGAATCCACAGACTTGGATGAATAGTTATATATTATTTTTAAATGACTATTTCCTTCATTTTTCTCTGCAGAAATGGGACAATTCCCATCTGCCAATCAGCACAGAGAGTCGTCAAAATGTAACGGCTGTGCGCACTGTGACATTACACTGGTTCCTTTTACTACATTGGGAGAAAGATGTTTTTCCAGGTTTATTTTGGGGATTTTTATGCCTTTTATTTTTAGAGACAGGACAGTGGATAGAGTTGGAAAATCAGGGTGAGAGAGAGAGAGTTGGGAATGACATGTGGGAAAGGAGCCACAGGCCGGATTGGAATCCAGTAGACCACTTCAGATATAGATCTGTTAGGACTATGTTAAGGGTCATCAATCCTCACAGTAAACAGAGGCGAAATATCAAATGGTGAAGAGGAGGAGATGGTTGATTTCTCATTTTTTCACTCCCTGTGAGGTGAAATATCTTCTTATCTGGAGATAGCAGAAATGTAATTTGACTTAACAGCATGCATTTGTTGGATCTCCATTAATCCAGATGGGACACTTGACTGAATATTTAGACTTTAATGCGTTTTGGATTGTGCTGCACGATCACTGAGCGTCGAGCAACAGATGCTGTCATCTTTTAGGAACTACTTTAATCATTTCACAAGTTCTACTGGAAAATATCTGCAAGTTCCTGCATCAGAAAAGAAAAGTGAAGAATTCCTGCTTGGTTGTAGACTGAATATTTTCAGGTGTTTTGCAATGTGTTAGACAAAAGCATTTTAAGGACATCACCTTGGGCATTTGGAAAGTGACTAAATAAAGGCCTGTGTCCACAGAAGTGCTAACGACCTCCGTTTCCGAGTGCTTCTCAGCAGCCCTCATAGTTGCTAGGTTACGAAGATTAACTTCTGCTTCCCTTGGTAATGGGTGTGCTTTAATAGCTCTGTGTGCTTAATATTTGCTTTAATTCAAGGAAATATCACCAAGAGAACACGTGAACGACGTAGAGGAGTCGCATCCTTGTGTGCTCGGGGCGCTGAAAATGCTGCCTGTATTGGTCCTAAAGGGATGTAGTCCTGATGTAAATCCAAACATGTACCTTTGCGGCCTCCTTCGGCAGGTCAAAGGGGATACGCTGGCGGATTTTGGGCGGCAGCTGAGTCAGCACATCGGCCTTGAGGCGCCGGATCATGATCCCGCTCAGCCGCTGGTGCAGCTCCTTCAGGTTGGACGCTCCGCGACAGTCCCACTGCCGTCGAGACCCAAAGTACCTGTGAGAGAGAGAGAGAGAGAGAGAGAGAGAGAGAGAGAGAGAGAGAGAGAGAGACAGAGAGAGAGAGAGAGAGAGAGAGAGAGACAGAGAGACAGAGAGAGAGAGAGAGAGAGAGAGAGAGAGAGAGAGAGAGAGAGAGAGAGAGAGAGAGAGAGATAGAGAGAACGAGAGCTCAAGCTTGATGCATTTTTATACACATTTCTAGAAAAGGAAAAAAAAAACGTATTTACAGCAGAACCCTGAAGGAATAGTTAAACACATTTAAACATCCTCTCCTGGGAGCTGCCCGGCACTACAACATCCCTCCATCGTGCACCGCTGAGCAGCTCTGCTGGAGCAGCCGGGGGACTTTTTTGCTTTAGGGCAATTTGCAGAGCAGGAAACTATTTTGTCTAATGGCCACAGCAGCAGCAGCTTTATCCCAAAAAACTTGCAGGCAACTTTTCACAATTCATCAGCCAAGTGGATTTTTAGAATAGAACTGGCCCTCCGCACAAAAGGCTGGTTATCTGCCATATTGGAAGTGGAAGTGTGGACAAACTTAATAAGCCGCTGCCAAAAACTTCGCTGTTTCACACTTCAGGATTTAAACTTGTTGTTGCCGAAGGAGGAAAAACTGGTTCAGCCAGAGGCTGTCGATTCAGGGAAAAACGTCCCTTATATTAAGAGAACATGACAACGCCTCGTGTCCCTCAGAGTGTGTGATCTTTTTGTCTAAATGTGGCTATGTGTGTGTGGCATTCCCCAGCCGCAGTAGAAGTGCTATTATACAAAGTGTTATCAGTAATGGCGCCGGGCCCATCACCGAGCGAGAGCGAGCGAGCTGCTGACTTGTGATGGACGTCCAAAACAATGCATTTGATGTGTTTGTTCACACATGTAACTGATCGTCACTCGCTCCTGGCGGCCGCTTGGCATTTAACGCTTGGCTTCCGTTGGTGCTCTGGCTCTGACAACAAAACTCAACCCGAGAATCACCGCCGCTCCAGACTCAGGTGCGAGCCACACATGTTCCAGGAGACAAAGAAGTTCACAGAAAATGCGAAGCGGGAGCGATTTAAAAGTCTGCTAATTCACTAGAGCTAAGAATTTAGAGGACATCAGTTCAAACACACCCAGCTGATCCATGACACCAAAACATGATTTGACATTTCCAGTTAGACTAAATGTGCACGGAGGAGATGTCCCTTAAAATAAAATAAAAAACTCAACTGAACGTACCAGCAAATGCACTGATGTAAAACTGGTTCATTTTCTCTTTCAAAAACGTGGGCGCTAGGCGTAAAAAAAATGACAACTGTGTCAGGTGGAAAACAGGAAAGACACATGTGCTGAAAGTACTCCAAACATGGCGCTGTGTTTCCCAGGCTAAAAGACGATATTACATGTATTTATGGCCGCACAAATTTCTTTTTTGGTTCATCCATAAAATCTCTGCATGGAGTCACAGCCGCCCGCGTGGGACGAGAGACACACGGGACAGTGAGACAGAGAGCGACAGAAAAAGAGAGTGAGAGAAGTCTGTTGACCTATCAGAGAAATGTGTTCATGAAGACACTACTTCAAAAATAAGTAGATATTAAAAGCTCTGTAAAAATGTGTTGTTAGCTTGAACTTGTGTGTGTGTGTGTTGACAACTGACCTGTAATGGGCATTACAGTGTTTCTTGGCGTACTCAGTCCAGGTTCCAAACTTCTTGGGGTAGAGGGCATCAATCTGCATGAAAAGCTGTGAACACACACACACACACACACAAGAGTTAGGAGCCACAGGTGGGATTTGAACCTGGGCCGCCCGCTTTGAGGACTATAGCCTCCATACATGGGGTGTGCATTAACCACTGCACCACTAGCGCCCCAAACATTTCACTTTTGACCCTTTCTTTCAGCTTTCTTTCTTATCCATAACAATTTCCCTTGTCCATGTTCTGGAATCTACCGGAAGTTCATTATTTTCTTTCAAAATAAAAGCAGTATAGGAAATAAAGCAACCTCAAATTAAGAAATAAAGCAACCTCAAATTAAGAAAATTCAACATTTTAAAATAAAATTATGAAAACAGTTTTAAAAGGCAAAATAATGGATCTTCCAACATGCAACTCAATGTGATTAATCATAATTAACTATTGAAATCCAGTGATTCATCAACATTTTGATCGTTTGACAAGCCCTAATAAACATTTTATTATGTATGAAAGACGTTTTAGGGTTTCACACATTGACTTTAGCTTTCAAAAGCTGTTTGCAGTAACTCAAAGTAGCAGGAGCTCTTTTTGGCAATAAACACAGACCTTACCTGTGCTCACGATTAGTTTACTGTCATGCCGAGCATCTCGTGAGCTATTTATTCAAGGTCGTGTTGTCCTTCGCCTAGTTTACCACTCCTGTGTTGTGCATCTGCGAGGAAACTTGTGTCAGCGCCAATTAACCTGGTCAAACCGCTCTCCCCGCAGTCAGACTCGGCAGAGCAAATTAAAGTGATTTAAATAAAGTACACCTACAGCTGCTGCCGACATGAGAAAAAAATGTAATAAAAAAATGGCATCACTATTGTTTGAAGCTACCGGTTCATTACAAGCGTTCTAGCTTGAGTGGATGTCTGGTATTTCAGGATGAGGCTTCTCCTACAGCAAGAATGTAAAGTGTGTGAATGCATCACAGCGCCCTGCTAAGAATGCGTGCGTGTGCAAATGTCATCTTGCCTTGTGTCTTCACCGACACATCCCTGTCAATTTTCAGAATTTTGCAGCAATTTCTGAAGTAATGACAGGTCATCATCAGCGAGGCGATCTGGATGAGCACTATTCTAAATTCAGCGCTTGTTCAACTGGAGCTTTGCATCCCCCCCCCCCCCCCTCACACTGTTGATATAATAGGTGGGTGGAATGAGGGCACATCATGAACGGTGCAGCATGCCCTGAGCTGTGTGCTAACTCGATGTCAGAGCCACAGTGAGTAATGATGGCAGCGAGGAGACTGGCACAGAGTGCAGGGACAGGGCTTATCAGGTTTTATGCTGCGGGATGATAAAATGCTATATTCAGTTTCAGATTGTCGCAGCAGTGAGAGGGAGAGAGATGGTATCTGAAAACTAACCTCACCACTGCAGGCAGGGTATCACACGCACACGCGCACACACACACACACACACACACACACACACACACGTGTTCCGTAACACACACTTTCTCGATGACACACCTTCTCAAGATTTCTTACAAGTACCAACTTCACTCTATTTTGGAATTAATTAGCCGCCTGGATTTCATCAGTTAATTATCACGATCGGGCTAGGCCATAATTAAGTTTTCCTCACAGCAACGCGGCGCCCGAGAAGACGGTGGTATCAGAATCCTGTCTCACACATACACACTTGAACTTACTCGCATGATACCCCCGATGTCATGACAATGTAAAGTTGTTGTTGAAGTTAGTTTACACTCTTGATTACTTGATCCTGATTGGTCCAAAAACGGGACATTCTACAGGAAGTTTTTTGCTGCAAAAGCAGCCTGCTGCTATTAATAACAGACTGTTGCCACGGCTACAGTTCTGATCCGACCTTTAATCGAGACCAAGTCATATCATCTTGATACGCAGACGGGGGGGGGGAAAAAGTCCAGTAACTGTAGCTTGTTAATAAAAATATGTCTGAACCGGAAAACAGCTGAGTGTGTGTCTGTGTGTCTGTGTGTGTGTGTGTCTTTGTGTCTGTGTGTGTGTCTGTGTGTGTGTGTCTTTGTGTCTGTGTGTGTGTGTGTGTGTGTGTGTGTGTGTGCGTGCGTGTGCGCTGGAGAATTTATTTTCACAAACAGGGTGTTTCTCAAAGTCTGTTGAAAATCTATAATTAACTGAGTTTCAACATTTGACTTTGCAAACAAACTCATTATACAAAATTATTAATGAAGCCGTAATCATGTTCATGTGAGCAACACAAACAGGAGAGTACCAAAGTGAGCGATGACGGGAGAGTGTGTGTGTGTGTGTGTGTGTGTGTGTGTGTGTGTGTGTGTGTGGTGGTTGTGGTGGTGGGGGGTGACTAGAGGGCAATTAGAGATGGTGTAAATGCCAAAGCTACATGCTACATCAGTGCCCTATCATTAAACTACGGTTAGCCTATTGATAAAGAACAGGGACTTCTGATTTTCTGTTCCCTGAGTCTCCTTCATCTACTGCTTCAATATATCGTATATAAAAATGATATCATAAATCATCATGAGAGGGGAACCACTGTTGTCCTGCGAACAGCCATACTTATTGTCTCTAAAGTCAATAGCCGCCCCCCCTCCCCCTCCCCACATGTGCTTCTTTTTATTACTTGTCTCATTTCTTGCTCTGCACTGTCTATTCATATCAGGCTTTGCAAATTAAGTTTTTTTTGGGGTTTTTTTTTGCAACAAAGGTTATTGAAATAAGCCGACGGTATCCTCGAGGATAAGTGATGCCGCAGAGAGTTAATTGGCTTTCTTTTTTTTTTCTCAATGTTGGATCTGAGTGTGACCTGCTCTGGAGCAAGTTACCATGGCGATCTACCTGCATATTAGATGGAAACACCTCTGTGAGAAGCCAGAGTTAACGCTGCGGCCAAGTATTCTTTTCTTGTGAGTATGAGCTCAGAATCCATTAAGAAGCACGCAAAAAAAAAAAAAAAATCCCTTAATCCTTAAATTTAGTTTGAAGGATCTTGGAATCTGTACGAGTATTACCTCCTCAGGCCGTCCGAGTGCAGGGGTGCCGGTGAGCAGGATGGCCCTGTTGGCGCGCTGAATGAGCGGCACCAGAATCTTGGTCCGCGCTGCGTTCCTGGATTTGAGGTAGTGCGACTCATCGACCACCACAACGGCGAAACGCTGCCTGCTCAGAGCCTCCACCAGGGGGCGTGCGTCTGTGGTGAGCAGGCCGTAACCCAGCACGGTCACCTTACTGCTGCTGATGCCCCTGGAGGGACACACACACACACACACACACACACACACACACACACACACACACACACACACACACACACACACACACACACACACACACACACACACACACACACACACACACACACACAACACACACACACACACACACACACACACACACACACACACACACACACACACACACACAGCAAGGGACTCAGGCCATCTTTCTTAATTATAAAAGTTTATAAAATATCAGCCATTGTTGTAGTCTTCAGACTGTTTCCGTTCACATCACACATCCAGTATATTTACATATGTGAAGATCTAGCTCTGTGGACTGAGTGACTTTAATAGAAGGTGACATTTAGGTAGTGGCGGCCGGTCAATAGAGGGCGCTCAGGTGCTGCCTACCCTCTCCATTTTTTGTTCTTTTTGATAAAAATGTAATGACAGCACACTGGGCCTCTGGTTGTAAGTTGCACATGCACAAAAGTTCCTCTTCGATCGGTGCTGGACAAACACACCAACACCCAAAAGTAGGCAGCCGAGGGAAACATCCCAGGAACTGAGAAATCGAGAGCGAGTCATGCAGGGTCACTGGATCAGAGCATCGACTTATTGGGATGAGCATCATTAGTATCCAGTAGTGTTTTTTTTTACTAATATTGATTTGATTATTAGAACTGTTTGTAACAAATGCAGAAAGTACAGTGGCCCTGAAGGTCAACTGCACAACTACTTCATACTACTACTGCAAAAAGAGTTCACCAGACCCCAAAAATGCATAAAAAAACACCTTCTGCAAAAAAAAAAAAAAAATATATTTTTTTTGTGTGGACAGGTCAGTGTATAGAGTTAGAAATCAGGAGAGAGAGAGAGGACTTACATCCTCGGCACACTAGTCTATTAGCGCCCCATTCACCAATTTTTTTGGTATTTTTGATTCATGAAATATTTTGCATTTAGCTAAATCTTTTTTCGGCGTCTGCATTTTTTTTTTTGCAGTTGACCCTTCAGGGCCACCGTTAAAAAAATAAAGCTATTGAAGTAAGTCATTCCTAAGAGATCTTTGATGAGAAGAATGAAGTAGGTAACCTCCCTCCCTGCTTTCAGCTGCAGCGCTTTAATACCTCACCTTTAAAACACACAAATGTGTGTCAGCAGCTCGAGCTCAAAACAAACCAAACATCTGTTTAAATGCGACGCTGTTTATTGACTTTGCAACCGAGCCCTCGAGGTAAAGTAAAGCAGACTATTTAAAAAGGGTGTGTGGATTTGATAAATGTTTCAGTACACAAAGGAAGACTCACACACACAGACACACACACGGACACTGCCAGGCACAGAATAAGGCTGCAGGGTTGTCCCCCCCCCCCCCCCCCCTGCACTTCTTTTCTTCTCCAGCTCTTAAGAAATCCATTCCTGGGCTGTATTGCAATTTTCTGAGCTAGTCCTCACACAAACACGGATAAACAAACAAACACAGCGGCGACATTCAGCCGAATGAAACTCAATGAGAATCTCGGAGAAAATCAAAAAACATTTCCAGCATCTGGCAGCTTTCTAATTCACACACACACACACACACACACACACACACACACACACACACACACACACACACACACACACACACACACACACACACACACACACACACACACACACACACACACACACACACACACACACACACACACACACACACACACACACACACACACACACACACACACACACACACACACACACCGAGCTGAAATAAACCTGAGGTGCTGTTCATGTTCTACAAAAGAACGTGAGACAAAATGCTGGGAGGAGTTGCAGCATACTTTTTCTTTTTTTGCCTCCCCACTCAGTCATTAACACATCCAGTTCAAGGACACCTCTTCCCCCACCCCCACCCCCCACCTGAAGGCTTTCACAACCTCTTTGCACCTCGTCTGAGACGTGAGGTGGAAGGGGTTTCAAATTCATTCCCCCTTCCGAGTCACAGATGGAGAAAAGTTTGATTCATTCAAAAGAAGAAATCAAACTAAAGAGAACTTGGGGGGAAAGTTGAGGTGATTATATGGAGAAAAAAAAAGGAGCTGTTTTTAAAAGCTTGTATGCAACATTAGTCCGCTGTGCACGAGTACCCTGCAAACGGTGAATCAATACAAACAGCTGTGAAAACGAGGCACATTTGTCTGCGACAGCGTTTTTTCCCCCCCACACTCCCAGCGCTGGGGAAAAAATTTCAGCTCTTGTTCAATATTGCAGACGACGCTTTGACATGATTTGTCTGTCAGGCGCTGTCAAACATCGGGGGCCCATGCCGGCTCCTGACACAGAGGGACAGTTCTGAGATGAAATTGTCAGCAGCAGCCTCTCTGTCTATCACACCGCCTCGCTTTCACACTCCAAAGCAAGCCAGGTTTCATATTATATCCCATCTTTTTAGGTGTATTATCGCCCAACTAGTCGGAGAGAAGGGACATTAGACTCGTCCCTCCTAGCTCGTTGTAAGGGCAGCGTTTCTCTCTGCTAACCTCTCACTTACATAATCCTGTGTACCATCATCATAATCCTCAGGATTAAGTACTTTGAGTTGATATCCTAAACATATCCTGACCTTTCACACACTTCCACATACGCAGTGTGCGCAATATGTGTCCCTCTCTGCAAGATAGCGAGGAGGTTTTAGAGCTAAAACGCAGCAGAAAAATGAGCAAAAACTCTCCAGGTCTGAGATCCAAAATGTGAATATTTGATCTTAATCTGTGATGAGTGTGTAGACTTTGAAGAGCAATTTAAAGATGCCATATTTAAATGCATAAAGTATATCTCACTCTAGACATAAAGATCGATAAGATCGAGTCAATGAGGAGCTCAATAGTGACCCGCCCACATTTTCAGCGGCTCTGGTTGCGGAAGGTAAATTTTCCCGATTCAAATCCTCCATTGACATTTCATAGAATCCGTTTATCAAGCGATTAAAGACCGGAACTAAGTCAACCAGCTGCCCTGATACTCCAGTGGTGACTACAGTACTGGTGGAGCAGTGGTTAGTGCGCGCGCCCCATGTAAGGAGGCTGTAGTCATCCAAGCGGGCGGCCCAGGTTCAAGTCCAGCCTGTGTGTTTCCCTTTCTGCATGTCTTTCCTCCCTCTCTCTCTCTCCTGATTTCTGACTCTATCCACTGTCCTATCTCTACATAAAAAGCCCCAAAATAAACCTTGGAGCTTGGATTTTGAGCATGCGCGTTCAGTTTCAAAATCAAAGCTCTTACTTAGAAACCATCACACTAAATCTCATTTTTTAGGATGTGTTATGAGTGTGAGTCACAAGTGTTTGGTTATTATTGAGTATGCATTGTGTCTGTCTTTGTGCCCACCCTTGATTGGGGAAACGCTAACGGTGCACGCCGGCATCTGAATGGAGGGAAGCTGGTACTGCGGACTTGCAATGCTCAAAATCCAAGCTCCATTTTTGAATGCCGTTTTGGGCGCCAAATCAAATGTACTACAGTCACCACTGTGGTATTGATAATGGCTTAGGTCTTAATGGTAAATGGATTTTTTTAGACTACCCAAAGCACTTTCACACCGCATGTCGCACCATCCTTGCAGGGCGGCTGTGGCTCAGTTGGTGGAGTCGCTTTAAGTAGACAGAAGACAAGTACATTTACCATTTACACATTCTCACACTGATGGTAGAGGTTGCTATGTATGTTTACTAATCCATTCATACACATTCATACGCGCCTGAAGAAGCAGCAGGAGCAACTTGGGGTTAAGCGTCTTGCCCGAGGACACATCGGACATGTAGCTGCAGGAGCTGGGGATTGAACCCCTGACCTTCCCGGCTAAGAGACAACTCGACCACTGTTTCAGTGTTTAACTTTTGTAGCCTGAATGTGTTGAGAATTGGATGTGTTGACCTACATGGTGTGACTCTTGTTCTCCACCAGGTTGATGTCTCCGGGCTGCAGCTCGGGGATCCACCTCTCCAGCTCCTCGATCCAGGGATACTTCAGGGACGAGGGCACCACCACCAGGAGGGGCCACTCCTTCCTGAAGGCGTATGCCACCGCGATGGCCTGCACCGTCTTCCCAAGACCCATCTGGAGCGACCAAAAAAAAAAAAAGAAGCAGAACACACGGGCAGAGGGCGAAGAAAAACAAGTCAATCGTGCAAGGAGTCTGCGGTAAATTGCATATGACGGCCGAGCTGATGCGAGGCCCGAGAGTAATAAGGTCTCAGAATGATTCTTGTGTCAAAACTGATTAGACACGTGGGAGTGCTGCACAGGGCTGACAAATTAATTTGGAAGGCATGCTGCGAACTCCCAGGTTCATTTTTTTTTTTTTTTCGGGGGGGGGAAAATAGATTTCCTGAGCCAGCGTTGTGCATGCTTACCTCATCAGCAATCATACATCTGTAAAACAAAAGAAGAGAGAGAAAAACTTTATCAGATGAGTTCCGAGAGCGGGAAATTGTTTTTGTGGAGAGAACACCAGCAGGCAATAAAAGCTGGCTGCTATAAAAAGACTGAATTTATAGTTTGCATATAGAGACAACAGCTCCTGCAGTGTGAGGGTTTATCAAGGGCAACACAGCAGGATTCAGTGGAGAGGTATTTATTCTGTTTCCTTTGTCCAGACTAAGGGTTCATCAAAGAAAACCCCACGACTCCAACCTTTCTTTTAATTGATTTATTATAATAAAAATAACTTTCTTTTTAAAAACACAGGTTTACAAAGTGTTTTGACAAACAGCAGAAACAAGAACAAATTAAACCAAACACAGAAGAACATAAACAACAGCAAGAACATAACAAATGCAAAATACTCCAAATAATACATTTCACTGTATACGTTTTAAGAAGGGATTTGATGGAATCTGTGAGTCTTATCTCCTCAGGGAGGTCGTTCCAAAGTCGAGGGGCCCCGACTGAAAAGGCCCCGTCACCTTTAGTTTCAAGTCTCGACTTTGGAACGACCAGGAGGCCCCCCACCTGAGGATCTAAGAGTCATGATTCTTGGACAAAGAAAGAAACAAAAACATAAAAAGGGGTAACATGGGCCATACATCAGTGCAAAAATAAACAAATCAGGATTTTAATTACAGCGGGTTAGAGTCCTTTTCTTCCAGACTTTTATATATTGATCAAATTTGAACCTAAAGGATAAGGTCAGTCTCTACTAGGATTGCAAAGGGGTGGAAAGTTTCCGGTAAATTTCCGGAAACTTTCCATGGGAAGTTAAGCTAGGTCATTTTGGAAAACATTCCAAATCATATTAATACCATACATCACATTTTTTAAATATATTACCCTATAATATCATCAAAGCTTACTTCACTTTATGTGCTCTGCTGACTAAAATGTGTGGCTTCAACAGTCTTGTGCTCTGGGCTCAATAGTGAGGTCCAGGGTTCTAGAAATCATCTGTGCATGTGATGGAGGAGTGCAGGAGTGCACATGGCCTAAATAGCCCTGCAGTAAGCTGCGTGTTATTTGCAAGTGAATGAGGAATAGCAGAGATGTTCAAGTGTACTAGCATGGAATCTGTTTGTTTTAGTCAAGATTGCGGCCCCCATCAAACCTCAATGTGGCCCTCAGGTCAATTCTTTCATATCAATTAATTGGAAACATGAAGAAAACATGACAAAATATGCCATGAAATCACGACAACCAAAAACATGTCCATAATAATATTGATCACTGGTATGTGTTGAGTTCAATTTGAGACATAATTGACTTTAATAGTTTTTGTATACTATAATTTGGCCTCTGGCAGTGAGAATTAAATGAATGTGGCCCTTACTGTCCCCAAAGTTGCCCCTCCCTGATCTGCATTAAAACAAAAACAATCATCCATATTTATCTATCATAAAACAAATTGTGAGTGGCATCCTCTTAGTATTTACATCAATGCTGGTTCTAATGAGTATATTTTTATTTACAGACTTTTGGTCTGACGCCATCTTTGTTAATCCTGCTTCTCCTTAAAACTCTTAAAAAGAGAAGCCGCCTGCGACTGAAACATAACAACAGGACAGAAGGAGCGGCTCCCTTCTCGCAGCTGTCTCTTAACACGATGTATTTCGGGCGCCACAGAACAGCCAGCTATAGTTCCACCTTTATATCATGCAGTACAAGGGGGAACAATGAGAGTGCGACACATGCCTTGGCTGAAGTCGTCCCCATGGGGGGGGGAGAAAAAAAGTAAGATCAACTACTGCTTCTTCCCCGTCCGCTGGGTTTGGGGGCCTATTGTCATGACCTTGCTTATTCATAAAAGCTTCCAACATGGTGTCAGAGCAAACAGTGCAGCGGAGCAGCTCTGAATACCTCCGACACACTCTCTCATTATTCTTTCTCCTCCTCCGCCTCCCCCTCCCCCCCCCCCCATCTCCGCCCCATTTCTCTCTTTCAGCTAAGGAACATGATTAATGTGCACCTTGCCACTGGTGGTTTTTCTAATTGCCAGCACACCGGCCCAGTCAGCGCAACACACACACACACACATACACACACACACACATGCCAGTATGTGTGTAAAAAAAAGAATACAAAAGAAAAGATATGCAAAAATGCAACAAAGAAGAAAATACACGATATATGAGAAGTGTATGAGCAAAAAATATGTCACACACACACACACACACACACACCCACACTCGCACGCAGGGGAGGGAGTGTGCGGCTGGGGCAGGTGCTTGCCATTTCTCAACACATTAATCATCCTCCTTTAAATAACCTGAGTGTCGTCTTGACGCTTTGAGACTGCAAGGATGCTGCAGTGCTGTTGCCTGACAACGGCATGGTCGCCGCCGCCGCAGCGTCGTTCTAATGTTATCTCTGAAACCCACAAGCCCCCCCCCCCCCACACACACACAAAAGTGTCAGGAAAGCGGGGGCTCGGCTACCTCCCCGGGCTCGGCTGCGATGATTTGATGGCTTTGACCTCTGCACGGTGATGTGTTGTGCGGCCCGGTGCCTAACCCCAATCTTCCGGTGGTGTTAAGGTGTGAGCTGTGGTCAGTGCTGAAGCCGCTCCACGCTAAAGCACGACTTGGAAGAGGCTACAGTCGGATCTCACACGCGGTTTACGGGTTCAGAGGGCAGTTTTCCTTTATATTATGAATGAACTCAAAACCAAAAACAAGTAGCTTTTAGAAGATGACTTTAAGCCTCTTGCAGGATATGAAGGAGGACGTTAAAGGTAAAGTTTTCACTTGCGCTATATGGAGCAGTCGAAGTGGTTGGCTAAAAGTTACTGCACTGATTCTTCCTAAGACCTGAATCTATCACAGGACTGTTTGAATCCAGTACATCAGTGTTGCTTTAAATAAAAGTGAACATACTTCTTGTACTCTCTGGGCCTTGACCGTAGTTAAACACTACAAAGCTACGCTACCTTTTCCCTAAATGTAGAGCGGCAGCGGACGACGGCGGCGCGCATTTATGCATCTTAGCTTCTTGTAATGGCAATCTTTGTTCTCATGTGCATTGAGATGTATGGATGTGTGTTTGGCTCAGATGATGCTTTTATTTTGAAGGCCTAACTCTCCCAAAAAATGATAAAGTGAACACATTTGCTTTAATGTTGCGATACTCGTTAAAATGTTTTCCTTCTCCCTTTAATCCAGACTGACCCAGCAGGACACTGCGTTTATTTGTGTAGCCACCCTTTGCTTCTATAAGAACAATTCCTCTACAGGCTGAATGGATGCTATGCTAAATAATAGAAAGTCAGCCATTAAGGTTATGAGTTACTAATAGTGATATCTGTTATGACGTGCGATAGAATACACTCCTGCTGTTTTCATTCTAAAAAGTGTAATACACTCGTATATCAAAACCTATAATGCATTTCAAGCTTAATTATGGGAGAATGGAATGAAGAGCCCATTAGAGAGTGAGTACTGCGACTACAGATGAACTGATGGAGAGACACCACAAAGAACAGCAGTGGTAGTTTTCTGCAAGATGTTCATGATTCCAAATCAAGGGGGCATTGTGCCAGTCCACTGAGCTGACAAGTACTTCACTTATCTCACATCAATGGCAGAATCCAACTTGAGCAATAACGAGTTTTGTTTCCATGCATTGCAATTGTTTACGGTCCAATTAGCAATTTAAGAAGCAGGAATGGAGTTAGTGGCTAGAAAGCCTGGCTCACACTGCGGGATAATCCGGCCGAATTCAGCTCCGATTCCTCCTTCCCGACAATCGCAGGGTCGCTCCCTATCTACTCAGATTATCTTGTAGTGTGAGAGGTACAAAGATCCAATCTTAACGTCCCCAATCCGCCCGGCGATCGTCAGCGACGCCCCGATTTATTTCAAACATGTTTGATATTTAGAATTTAAAAACTTGACGTTTACGTCATGAAAGGCTCCGGCAGAACTACAATATGATAATGAGAGACAAGGGAGCACTGTAGTCATGGCGACCAGCGTCAGGACGCAACCAGGCGTCTCCACATGGACTGTTTTACTGCAAAGAGCTGGCTGTAACTCTAGTGGAGAAACATGGTAAATGGACTTGAGCTTGTAGAGGGCTTGTCTAGTCTTCTGACTACTCAAAGCACTACCCATTCCAACCCTGATGGCAGAGGCTGCTATGCAAAGTTCAGAAGTCCAAAGTTCATTACACCGCGAATTCATACACCGCCGACAAAGCAGCGGGAGCAACTTGGGGTTAAGTGTCTTGCCCAAGGACACATCAGACATGTGGGTGTAGGAGCTGGGGATCGAACCTCCGACCTTCCGGTTGAGAAACTTCTGACTACCAACTGAGCCACTCCAACAAACATGAAACCACGCCTTCAAACTCAACTGAGCTTCATCTAACATGGATGGATTCAAAGGGCACTCTGAAAGTACCCCAACTAGGGTTGCAAAATTCAAAAACAAATTCAAAACCGAATTTTAAAGTTGGAATATTTCAATGGGAATTAGCGGGAATTTATGGAAATTAACGGGAATAAACTGGGAATTTACCAAATTGAAGTTTGGCCCTTAACAGGGAACTTAAATATAGTTGGAGAAAATATCATAATAGCATAATCTTGACTAAAACAGACCGGATTTCATGCTAGTACACTTGAATATCTACATTCATACAGTAATTAGCTGCTGATTAGATAGATGTTAAATAAGCTATAGCTAGCATCACTTCATTTACCATTTATGAGGCTATCTATGACAAAACTAAATGTTTATTTTTATGCTTGGATATGATAAAGTTCGATTAAATTACCCTCAATTTCCAAATAATTCCCATAAATTCCCATAATTTCAGATTTGGAATATTTCCAAAATTCCCCATCTTAACTTCCCATGGAAACTTTCCGGAAATTTTCCACCTCTTTGCAACCCTAACCGCAACTCAAAAATATGCCGCTGACAAGCACAAATGATTCTATGGAGCCACTCGCATGTTCTCTGCAAATCACCATAACCAATGCTTATGGATCAGTTCAAACAGAGGGCGAATACATCATCGTATATGTGAGAGAGGAGCGTCTCCAAACCGACTTCTCTCAGTGATTTCAAACAGAGAGACTACGCTGGCTGCTTATTGATTTTCTCTTGCATCAGCAGAGCAGCTTTTATTCAATAAAAGCACAGGCAGTCACTTACAATAATATTTTGGACAAATCAGAGCATGGCGGACGAACAATGCAACACACTGCACAGTGGACAGCTTAATGGAAGTGACCAAGAGGTCTTAATGGATGTACTCCTACTCCAAATTCATGTTTTTTCAATACCTAGTAAGTCACATTTTACATATATAACCCAGGGGCATATCTGTTTCTAAAAAAGCTTAATATATACAGACATCAGCACTCAAATGGTACACTCATGCCCAACTTTCAAAACAATACTATCAACCACATCTCATGGATTTTTATTGTCCTACCGCACCACAACATTCCTCCATTATCCCTCGTCTAACTCCATAAATTCACTCACCCTCCTACACACACCGATACGGCCGGATACATAAGCATTTTGAATTGCAACAACATTTGATGTTTTGGTTCGGTGCTCCCGCGATGCTCTGGATGTGCAAAAGACACAATGACTATGAGATTTGAAAGGGAAAAATCCACCCACGGATCCTCCCACACCGTTAGATATCTGACATCAATCTGTTATGTTCAGTGCATTTCAGGAGTTATTTTATAATGAAGGGCTGCCATTTATTTATTTCCCTGTCTCGTCTGGTTCTACTTCAGGTACTGATATCCTACATTTCCAGGAATTGTACAGATATGCAGCAATGCATTGTGGTGTGTTCAAGCTATTGTAGGGGAGAATAATTACGTTTCTGCCTCTTCTACATGGAGTCTCTGTAACGGATCAGAAAAAAAGGAGACTGCTGCTTTAATGCAAGCCTCTTCAAGGCTATTGACCGAGCAAATAAAGAACAGCAGGGTGCCTCAAACCATAGAAAGATCAAGATTACTGTCAATAAAACATTTTTAGCTTCTGATCATCTTTGCCGTCTGTCTGTGTGTGAATGCAAAGACTTGTGAGAGGGTGTGAGTGAGAGGGGCTTAAAATGCCGCCAAACTAAGGAACCCAACGTAAGCTGGTCTTAAATTATATTAGCTCACATAACCACTTCAGCAGAATGCAGAAGAGGCTTGACTAAAACGTCCTTGAGTTTTAATTCTACTCCATTTTTGGAAGCAAATTCCATGTAGAAAACATGGACGTCATCTCAGTGTCGTCACCTATTTGTTTCTTGAAGGGAGTTGCGAAGCCTAGCGATGGAAGTCGCCGTATTGAAAACGTTGTCTCACCAACCTAACTTTTGGTTTGCCTAAAAACAAGGAGAGGTGTAGGTAAGCAGGGCTTTAAGCTTCCTGGTGAACAGCTACACCACACCTGCTTACAGATCAGTCACGCTCCTAATTATGCATAAGTTATCTTTTCATAAAATCTACGTTTTTTTAGTGCAACAAAATACTAGTGTGTGTAACACTGTTGAGACTGTGATAACAGAATCTCATAATGTATTCAAGGCTTTCCTATCATGTCCTGTCACCCTATTTAGTTCTGAGTTTAGCATAGCATATAACAGTTTAAGCAGGATCTTCGCATCTTAAACCTTAAGCTATTCCCGACTAGAGCACACCAAACTTGTGTAATTTTAAGCAGAAATCAAGTACATCCTGTGTAAATGTCTCTCTGACTGTCTACAATGAATGAGAAGTGCGAGTCTCGCCAGCTGTACTGTTGTTGTTTACATCATGTTTACATGGACGGGACGGCTTTGTGTATAAAGCTGTTTTAGTCAAGGACTAGAGCAAAGAAGAAGAACGTACTCACTGATTTTTTGAATGTCATGTAAGTGTCTTTAGATCACGCTCATTCTGTGTCAATTTATGTGCAACATAAAGCTATGAGCTTACTAAAGCGTGCTAACATTAGCATGCTAACACAACAATGCAGGACACAGGCAACACGAGCAAAGGGACAATTTTGTCCTATGCATGCGCTTAATGGTGCTTAATTGTGATGCGTTCTTATTCATTACTCCTTCATGAGAACACAAGTGGAGAGGGGGGTTGCTAAGCTAAAGATAACAGTACTGAAGCTTCATGGCCAACAAATGAATATGATAATTTGATCTCAGTATGGGGTTCGGCTTTAAGTTTCTCTAAAAAACTAATGACAACTTCTGCACTAATATTGACTCAACACATGTTTTATATGGAGGTGATGATGCCACCTGAACAGCATCTCTGCCAGTGGTGTGCTGGCATACAGAGTATTGTGATATGGAGGTAACTACACATTCTAACAATCCTCAACGTCTCACATCATGTCAGTCCTGATTCTATTTTTGGGCACCTTGCACCTCGTTCTAATGCCTCCTCTGCTCGTCTCCAGAGAGAGGCACAGCCCCCGCTGCTCTTACTGTCACACTGATGCCAATTGACTGAGGTAACTGTCCACACAGTGCAGCGAGAGCCAATTGACTTCTGACCCGCCCGTGTAACAAAGCAGTGCCTCCCAGTGTTCTGAATCAATATGGCCGCTCCGCATTACAACAGCAGTGCTCAGATTGGCTCCCCCTGCGCTGACCTTCCTGAGAACAGGAGCAAACATTGACTGGTCTGGGCGGAGGAAATGGGCAAGAGCCGGCCAGTTCCTGCAGCTAATACTCGACACAGCCAAACACTTACAAACATTAGAGCAACTACCCATGGACTTCTTATTATTTTAAAGACAAATTCTGATCTTAATCTGACCTTTTCACATTTAAAATTCACTTTATTTTTCTTGCTTCTTTAGCCATCATAACATGTTTTAACTTTTTAAACTACATACTTTAAACAGCTGTCTTTTGCCTGCTTCACTTTTCAGAAAACGTATGCTCAAACAGGCGGTTCAGAGATTTTCCCTTTGTGACATCACAAGAGCTGTGTATACATGCACGTCTGGCTTTGTGTTTATGGCTCAATCTGTGCCATGCTTCCACAACGCCGAATTGCAGTGTGGATTCACAGACTGTGTCACCAAGATTACGCTGTCGCGGAATCAACATTTTTGTACATCCTGGCATCTCCCTGTGCTTGATGGCGAACAATGCGTGAAGAAAAAAGTCCGCAGAAGAAGTGGAGTGAAAGGCTGCTAGCACAGAAGAGGGACACAATGTTCTCCAACGCAGCAACTTTACAATTAAAAACGGAACTTTTTATGAGTAGGTTAACATCAATTGCGCAAGTCTTTTGCTCCTTATCATGTTGCTGCTGATAAGTTTGCAGGTGCACTCCACTTTTTCAAACAGTCCCCCTGTGGTCTAAATGAAACTAATATGTCCCCTTTAAAGATTTTTTTTTTTGGCAGAGACATAAAAACAAACAAGATTGATTGACTGATGTGCAAGTGAGTGTGCAGCAGCACTACTTACCGTCCATCCTTAGACAAAGCAAACTCCACTCCCTCGCGTTGGAAAGGCATCAGGCGCTGCAGGAGCTTGTGTGGAAGGCCCGACAGTTGCTGTGACCATCTTGTAGCACAGCAAGACGTCTGTAGGTCATTATCATCCATTTCCATTAGTAAGTCCTCATCAGTTCCTCGGCCTTTGCTCACACACTCAGCTCTGGTTTTCAGCTGGGAACAAAAACCAATAGATAGACCAAGATTTACATACGAGTTTGCACTTATGTAAGCATTCTGAAATTAAGTCTATGTGCTGAAGAATCTCAAGCTGATCTCAGTGTTGGTCACTGATTTAAACATGATTAATTATAATGTTGGGAATCTTTATTTTGTTGCCTACTTGTCAGGAATACAATTATTAGACATTGTATGACGCAGTTTAGCAGACACAAAAATAGTCAGAATTTAAGATGAGGTGGTTAATGTTGCATGCCTTAGCCGCCTGGAGATGCAGCCGCATCGTTTTTTTTGTTTTTATTTTTTTTGCGTTTTCTGGTTCAATTCTGGAAAACACATTTTCTTTTAATAGGCTACTTTATTAATCCCTGAGGGAAATTCTAGGTTAACACAAAGCTGTTATTGACAGACATGCAAAAATATATATGCCAAAATACACACATGGACAAACAGGACGTGTACATGTGTGTATTTTGGCATTATGCTTCTTTTTACAGTCTGTGGTGTGGACATGCATAAATGCAGAGGCGTCAGAGTGGGGCTGCAACACACTGTAGCGCCAGAGATGTAGGGGATTCTGTGCTTTGCTCAAGGGCACGTCAGCAGTACTATGAAAGTGACCTGGCACCACTCCAGCTCCCAGATCAACTTCCATATTTTGTCCACACCAGACCAGACCAGGAACCAGCGACTGTACAGTTCCCAACTTAAAATTATCAAAAAAATAGACTTTTTTTTTATGTGGGTTGCTTGTTTTTTTTGTTGTTATATTTTTCAAATAAATAAAAATAAATGAATGCAAAAAAACAACAACAGACATTAATAAATGTATAATCTTAGCACCTTTAAAATAAGGTCTTACAAAGCGCTTTGACGAGATAATAAAAAGTCCCAGTTGTGAGGACAGCTAATCCCAAGAGGCTTAAATATGTTTAATATCGTGTTATTGGTAGTTAATATGTAAGCCTATAATTTAAAATAAGGGAAATGTTACTTACTCTATTACATTTATAATGCAGTCTCTTCAAAACTACAACAGCTGTGCTCTTTGTCTGTATATTGTTCCTCTTTAAATTGAGGTACCATAGCAACCATAGTTAGGCTATAAACTAGCTAAAGTTCAGTCATAACATCCCGTCTTTCTTCACTCGCCGAGCTGGAAATGTAAACAGTCATGAAAGAGTAACTACACACAAAAAAGAGTTGACTGAATAGGGGAGACACTGACCCAATGACGAGATATGTTCTGCACAACTGTGAAGTTTCCCAAAAGGAGTTGGCTGTATTTTGGATGTCGCATCTGTAGCATCTAGCGACGTAAACCGGAAGTACAGAAACGTGCCTACAAAAATAAAAGCCACGTACTTCCGGCGGTACACAGTAAAAACGCTTATAATCGACATTATTAATGAATTATTTTATGAATTAATTATTATTATAATTTACATTAAGCTAATTATCTTTTTTTTTAATAGTGACACGGGATATGCAGTGCCTAGATACTTGACTTTTACAACTAGTATGCAAACCTAGCGTGTTTACAACAAGTTGCATTGTTATCTAATCAAGCAGCATCTAGTCACATAAATAACGTACACTGTCACATACGTTAGCAAAACGGAATGAAAACAGATTAAACTGCATGAATGTGCGGGTGTCCTACCAGGTGAGATGAGATTGAAGCACAAAGCACGGCAGACTGAGCTGAAACAACTGGAAAAGTTTCGCGGATTGCATCCACTGAAACTACACCCGTCTGACACTTCGTGATCTATTTCGGACACTAAGTGTGAAGCCTTTTAACGTCAGTGTTAGAGGAGATGTGAGATGACAACAAAAGCTGTCAGGGGGGAAACTGCATGCATGCTTGCACAAAGCAAAAAAGCAAAAAAAAAAAAAAAATCCAGCAACGACAAGACGTGACATATTTTGAACACCCTACGTGTCTAACGTGAGGAGCTGACGCACTCTCCCAGCCTGCAGGACTGCACTGCTTCTCCTTCACTCTGCCACCAACACTACTTCACCCTCGGTAGAGACTACGGCTGTTCACCGATTGTAAACCAGAGCGGTAAGGCTACATTAGATATATGCAGTTATCATGTCCAGCAGATTTCTGTCACCCGGATGACTGTAAACATGTAACACGAGGTCGTTAGCAGAAAACATCGCTCTTTGCTAATGTGTGCCAGCGCAGAGCGTCGGTGTTTTTGGCTGTTTTTCAACCGATAGCAAAGCCACTGAGCCAGGTAATAATCGTTAGCTTAGCCCCGAAACCACCCAGAGCAAAAAAACGCTGCTTAAAGAAAAAAACAAAAAAACGCTGTGCTCTTCTGCAGGAGGACGCACCTCGCATGCAAACCCCGAGTCCAAATTGTAAGCGGCCATACTTGCATTCGGCTTCCGTCCGAGAATAAAAGGTGTGTTATTTAAAATGCATTATAATAAAAATAACTTTCAGGCCTGGTTCAGCTGCTCTGTCTTCCCCCGTAATATGCCGCAATGACCAGTGTGTGTCCTAAGGTTGACTGCTAGCTGTGTCAATAAACCGAGCGCTATTAAACATGCTTTCACTTATTTTTTGGGAGTGTTACATCGGCCGAATATTAGTGACACGTCTTACTTATCTGCTTGAAATGTCACCTTTTGTCCGGGACGTCCAGAAAACAAAGAAACCTTAAAGTTGTCATTTTTTACAAGGGAGTCCGGCGAGAAAGGTCCGTTGCGGAAACCCCGACTGAGACCTGGCATTTCAGTTGCATTGCATTGCATTTCTAATCATAACACGGATGCATTTGCTTTTTATTTTTATTTTTATTGATGCTTAACATCCTCCCTCACCCTGAGTGTTTAAAAAGCCAATGAATTAGTGCCATTTCTCCCTCACGGTGGATGCAATATTGGTAATGAGGCATTTCCACCGGTCGATGGGAGCACAGGCAAGTCACACGCTAATTAATCAAGCTCAAATATTAATACATGGCATTTAATACTGCGCGATTACCTTGAGAGCACCAGCAGTGACAAACAAATGTGTAATTGCAGCCACTATCAAATAAGTCCCTTCACAATTTGGCGTGCAATTTAATAGTAAACATGAATTAAAATGTGTGAATGATGCACAGATATTGCATTAGTGATCAAATCTGTTTTTGAGGCTTTGCGTTAGGGAGATTTATTTTAAATAAAGCACAACCATTAGATTATAAATACACATGGTGGTGGTTAATTGTGCATAAAAAAAAAAAAAAAAAAAAATGCCTGCTCCATTTATTCAATCACCTGTGTGCCCCACTCTGCAGCAACCCAGGCAATTACGCCTCATAGACTTTGGGAAGAGATGGACAGAAATAGCGACGAAAAGCGCACAAGTTGCCTCCACTGAAGGCTGAGCATCGTCATGATGGTATCGTTTTCATTAAGGTGTACCAGCGGAGCCATGGTGGGCGGGGAGCTGATGCTGGATCAGTTCCTCTGGCTGCAGAGAGTGGAGAGATGATGTGTTCATCTTTGCAGGTGCTGTCCACTGACTTCCAAGCTCCACTTCTTAGGAGTGTGTTTAAACTTTAATACATCAATTTGGGGAGGGAGGGGGGGGGGGGGTGCGATCCTAGCGGAGTGATATTGCTTTTTGCAGATGCATATAAAAATCAGTTTCCACCTGCTGCCTATAAGGTGTAGTAGTGGAGGAACAGGCTTTATTCTCAAATGCCCTCTTGTGACTGTCCACGCTCCTCCAAGGCTTGAAAATAAACGCCAGCAATTGTTTGCGTAAACTGTTTCACCCCGCGGCTGCTCATGTTGACCATGAATTACGCAGGTTATGGTGTCTGTGGAGCTGATGACATTATCCGATATTGAAGGTGGTTGGAGGTGTGCTGTGTAATAGCCTCCACCAAAAGATGTGGCCCAAATGACTAAATAATTCACCACTTTCCTTTCGGTGGGGGGGGGAGAAAAAAACTAATATTTGCTCTGCGCCATTAAATAATTCATCCACCCTATCCATAAATTGTTTGTTCAATCGGGTGACCTTTTTCATGGGATTTAAAAAAAAAAAAAAAGCACAATAATAAATTCTTCAGAGACCTGGCATAACGAATGGTACAATTATGAGGCTCGATTGGATCGGATCGGTTGTCGCATGCCTTGGTGTTGGTTGCTAAGTGACAGCAGGAACTTTTTTTTTCTTCTTCTTCCGCCCACTGTGTTTGCTGTTGAAGTCTTGAGTGACTGAAAGGACAAAAAAAAAAAAAACAATCACATTATGGTAGTCTAGACTTAGGCTGTGTATAGGATTTTGTTTGTGACTTTGACAGCCTGTCAGTCATGAAAGTGTCTTTTTTTTTTGTTTTACAGCTCAATTATCACTTCTCTCTCTCTGTGTTGCATGCACTGCAAGTGTATACTGATGGAGGCTGTGATCCCTTATTGTTTTCACATTTAATCCTCTGAAATCACTGAGGCACATTTGAGATGAAACAGAGGAGGTGATGGGGTGCGGTTTGCATTGTTTTCTAGCTGATCCACCACTAAGCTTATCTTAGCTTTGCCTCCAGCTAAATGCTTTATATTGCAGTGTTCACTTCTCTCTCACACACACACACACGCAGTAATGGGTGGTATTTCAACGGGATTAGCTGTAGCCTTGTCTTCTTTTGTGGATAAAAAAAAAAAAAGCAGGGTGCCAGCTTTAATGGGAAGGTAGCCCAGTGAACAGCTCGGCCTCGCAGCGGCGAGCGCCTCCCCATCGTCTCTCCACCTGGTCTTTTGAGCACCTAGCTGGCCGCAGACATGTCGATCCTGTCCTCGTCCTCCCCTGTTTGGCATCTCGCCTCATCCTCTTCTTGCTTTCTTTTTTTTTTTTTATTTGCCTTCCTCTGCGCTCCTTTCTTCGCTTCTCCTCCCTCCCCGTTTTTCTCATCTTCCCCTCAGTCTCCTTTCCATCCATCCCCATGTCCCTGGCTGCCCTTTACTCCTCCTCCTCCTCCTCCTCCTCTTCCCCCCGCCTCCATCCTAAAGCAGAGTAGCTAATGAAGAGCCCCATTTAGCCGGTGACTTTGGTTCAGTCTGCGCTCTGTATCGCCGGCCGGCCTCGGCTGTCGTGACTGGCTGCTGAGGCTCTGACATCACACGGGGGCCAGCTGTTGATTTGGCGCTGTCTCCAAGGCTGGCTCGCTTGATGGGTTGTGGCAGGTAGACTTGTGCTCGCACAGCACTCTCCCTCCCCCTCCCTCCCTCTCTCTCTCTCTCTCTTTGTGACACCCACTCTCCCTCTCCCTCTCCCTATCTCCTCGCACTCCCCTCTTCCTCCGTCCTCCACTCTCACTCAGTCGAGCGGGCGAGCAGAGGAGGCAGCAGGCAGCTGCCGAGGAGCGAGCTGGGAGGCGACTCCAGCCTCCTCTCGAGCAGACAGTGCCTCCTGTCGCAATGGAAACTAAACGGTCGAGTAGCAGAAGGGGATGGAGGGCAGAGCTGCCGGACAGGTAGGGTCCTGCAGCTTCAGGCCGCTTCACCTGCTCGCCTTCATTTCGTCTCTCTCGCAGTTCACTCACTCTGCTTGTTTTCCCCCCATTTCCTCCTCTCTCACGAAAGTCTTATCTGCTGTTGTTCTCCTCTCACGCAGCCTGTCGTCCATGCTGTTCAACACGACGGTGTGCTCCCGTCTCAAATCTCCTCTCTGTAGTCTGCTGCTTCTGCTTTTCATTGCGGGGATAATTAACCGAGATGAGCCAATAAGAGGCTTCGCTCTGCCAAGCCCGCTCCTGTTCTGCAGGTGTTGTCTGCAAATGGACTTTTAATGACTTTCCTTTTTGAGTTGCTCTCCATAGATTTGCAAAACTGCTGCTCTTGCATGTTACTTTTCTCTGTTTATTGTTCCTCCTCTTAATTGCCTAGATTTGGTATTCCCTGGCATAGCTTTCCTGTGGGATAGGTAATGGATTTACCTGCATGCTCTGCTGTGGATTGAATGTATTAACGCTGGCTGGCTGCGACCTGGAGGCAGAGCAGGCGGCGCAATTAAGAGCCTCATTTGTGCCTGTTTGTGTGTTTGCCCGTTTAATTCAGCCTGAGAGCAACTTCCTTAAACCGACACCGCCTCAGTCTCACCCCTGGAAGCGGCTCCGTTTCATAAAAAGCTTTAACGCTGTGTTTATACTGCTCCCCTGTCAATGCTTTCTTTCGTTGCTTTTTTTTTTTTTGTTGTTGCAATTAGCAGAAATGGCAAGAAAACAGGAGATTAGTGACTCAGTTTCGCAAAAAACGCTGTAATCATTTTTTTTTTCTTTCTCGCAGCAGCGCATGTGCAGAGAAACCTAATTATCTGTTTATTTGATGTCTGGTTTTATTAACGCGGAGTGCATGTCCCTGGACATGGATCTGCTCAGGCTGTTTTGGAAGTCTGGATTTAATAACTAATATCCACATAAAGCACTCGCTTTAATTTAAAAAAAAAAAAAAAGTGGTAATTTTTTTTTTGCACGGAGAGATGGCACGCGCTGTAGCCCCTCAGATATGGCATTACCTTTTTTTTTCTTTTGTTTTTGGTATTTGTGTGTCTGCTTTTTGGTTCGCGATGTTCTGTTTGGTAGTCTACATCTGTGCAGACATTATCCCAGCTGTTTGGCAAGCCTTTTTATGTGACACTCATCAGCAGCAATAAAACATGGAAGAATCGCTCCAGCGTTTAATGTGCGGCTGCAGAAACACGCTGCTGCTGCTGCTGCTGCTGATGATGATGATGATGATATTATTTTTTTTAATTTGTTGTTGCACTCAGGCTTATAAATCACTGGAGGATTTTTTCTTTGTCAAAAAAAACACAGAAGCTCGCTGAAAGGTGATGGCTTGTTCTTCTCCGCCCCGCGTTTGACTCATCTCCTAGGATAGAGCCGAGGGGATAAGGGAGCAGATCGAGGAGGGAGGGGGGGGATTGAAGGGTCCTTCACCTGCAGTTGAGCTGGTTATAGCGCAGACAAGCACAGAACAGGACAGAGCGGAGGTGTGCAGAGGGATAGGTCAGGCTTTTTTTTTTTTTGCGAGAGAGAGAGAGAGAGAGAGAGAGAGAGAGAGAGGCAGGTGTGTACTGGAGTGTACTTTCTCTCTCGTCCCCCCCCCCCCCTTGTGCGCGGCTCTTTCGCAGTGATTGAAATTTTTCCTCATTAGCTTTCCATCCAACATAATTGTCCGTCAAGAGCCTGCTGTATGATTAACTGTGCTCAGCTGTCTGCCACCCTCATGACCCCACTGTGGGTTTTTCAGGAATTCATCAAGAATCTTCCCATCAAGAATACATTTGTGCAAAGGAGAATGTGTTTGCATATGCTGATTTTTTTTTTTTTGATTTTTTTTTGGACTAATTCAATTTTATTTGTAGTAATTTGCATCTCTAATTGTTTTTTTTTAAAGACATTTCCTCTTCTTCTTTTTAGTGATCCAATCAACATTTTCAATAACGCGCTTGTATTGTGATTATGTGTAGGTATGCAGGTTCAGTGTGTGAGGTAACCACGGCGATAAAGATAAAGTGTGAATGGGCGCTGTGACACCGAGCGATGCCTGAGGGAGCCTCTTTAAAGGTGGCTGCGCTCTGCGGCGTCTGTAATACCAATGAACCACTCCCTGTCAGCGCCGGCGCAAGACTGAGGGAGACGTCGTCTGCTCGGTGTGGGGTGTGTGTGTGTGTGTGTGTGTGCGCGCAAGTGTGTGTGTCGAGTTTTCAATGTAAAGGTGTGTTTGAAGTGACAACGTTCCCTGTGTCCTTGTCTGTCAAAACATTTTTTTCTCTCCTTTTATGGTGAGCATTTTTTTTTTTTTTTGCGCTATTAGCATTCATAGGACCAAAGCACTGTACACACACACACACCCATGTATACACACACCCTGAAGCCCGCTCTGCCACTCTGCTCATAAAACCTGGAGCGCCTGGAGCCAGACTCGTCCACACCGCTGTTACAGCAACTTTGACACTCTGCATGTGTGCATGTGTCGAAACCACAAGGTGCAGCACCCAATGGCAGAGCAGGATACACATTCTGCCTTGCTTTCAAGTTGGCGCCACTTTTCTCCCTGCGACTCTGAGAAGAAGCGAGGCCAAATGTAGAGCATGATCCCCGTGTCAGAGCAGAATAACCATGTTAGAAATTGCTGGGCGCACTTGGTAAGAGATAAAAAAGGAGAGCAAGGAGGGAGGGAGGGGTGGGGGGGGTGGGTCAGTGTAAGAGCATATTTCAACTGGAGGAAAAAAAAAAAAGATACAAGCAAGGAGAGGTGAATTTGTCTTCTGATGACCACCGCGCAGTGATAGATCACCTGGCTGCCCGCTGCAGCTAGGTTGTGCACTTTGCAGGTGTGAGTTTAAAGAACATCAGTATTGATGGATGGAGCCTTGGGGGGGGTCGAACACTTGAATGTCTGCTGAAAATAGAAGAGGCTGCAGGTGGCATTTTTCATCCTAATTAGCTAAAATTCAGATGGGTGTTTTTTTTGTTTTTTTTGGCTTTTTATTGGAGAGATTGGATAGAGATGGAAATCAGGGAGAGAGAGAGAGGGGATTGACATCCGGGAAAGGTGCCGCAGGTCAGATTTGAACCTGGGTCGCCCGCTTGGAGGACGATGGCACTATCCACTGTGCCACCAGCGCCCCCAGCATTTCAAATATTTAAGATTTGATGCACTTCAGAGCATTCAGGAAGATATGTGGAGTCTTAGATCATGATGACGCACGCTCCTGATGAGGAGAAAACTGAAAGTGTTATCAAAAGTTAAGGCAAGGCAATCCTTCCAGGAAACTTGCTTCACCGTCTTGATGTCGGCCTGCGGCGCTGGCTGCAGCCTCCGAGGTGTCATGAGCAGGGAAGATTATAAAGCGTGCACAGATTCTACTTGACCTTTTTTTTTTTTGTTGTTGGCTGGCACAGGAGGTCTCTGCTCAGACCATGTCGGGAGCAGCAGCCAGGCCTCGAGACCGCTGGGCGCCTGCCAGAGTCGCCGTGGCACCTCAGCCACTCGCTGAGAGGGGGGAGATCAGAGAAAGACAACGGCGAGCCTAAATAACGGCTGCATAGTTGTTCCAGCATCTGAGTATTAAGGAGCGTTTTAAACGCCAGCAGGGGGATTTAAAGACATCTATTTGGGTCAAATTTAAAACATCAGATTCATCAAAGTGATTTTTAGTTGCAGGATCTGATGTTTTGTATCCTCATTTGGCAACTTCAGCGAATAAAGAAAAGCAATGATGTCATCATTTTACAGTGTAGAGGAGACAGGTAGCCAATTAAGGAAGTCATTCAACATTGCAGCTTTAACAGCTTGAGATCACATTTACGTCTCAAACAGTTTGGTAATGTAATCTTTCAGCCCTGTTGTTGTTGTTGTTGTTGTCCTGCCCGGCCAGGCTCGTCTTGAAGTTCAGCAAAAAAAAAAAAGGAATTTGCGGTAAAATAGAGATTGTACGATGTGGAATTTATTTGCCACCAAATGGCAGAGGATTTTCAGCTGAGGAATGCTATCTTCTCCTGCTGCTTTCTGAATTCCTAATGTTCGTTTTTTTTTTTTTTTTTTACGAGGTTGGCAGGGGTGCCTTCTCCATCTCTGTGCTCATCCATTATTTATGGCGCATCGGCACGCACAGGCCCAGAAATACACAACACTTTTTTTTTTTTTTTTTTTAACTTTTTGCCCTCACACACAAATACTTCTGTAGATATGCTGACGTCCTGACTACTGTCAGTCTGTGTGACCCCGACCCCTGACCTCTCTCGCCCCTGTCCACCACTCCAGAGCTAACCGCGTGCCTCTCTCGCTTTTGCAGGTCAGCAGGGGTCATGAGGGTGTCGGAGGCCCCGGTTGCCGCCCAGAGCAGCTGAAGCAGACATGGCCAAAGAAGCTTCGGATGGCAGCGGTATGCTCGGCCCCATCGACTTCACCAGCCACATCGTCCTTTGCCACAACCACCACTGGCTACGCAACAAGTATGTACTCCTTTTTTCTTTATTTCATAAAAAGTCTGTCCCGGACGTTGGGCAAATGAAAAGTGAAGTGGGTTCCATCCTCTAGTTTGAAGTTAATATTAAAGAGTGCTTCAGTGTAGGAGCTTGAGTTGGAAAATGGAATAAGCTGCAGTTCCTTGAGTGACCACTTGAGGCTGATTCCAAAAGCCAAGGAAACACCATCATATCCCAAACTAAAATGTCCATTTAAAGAAAAAAAAAATCGTATTTTTTTTTAACAGATTCTTTGAAGAATTTTGGCTATGCTAAGGCTGAGAGTTAAGCATGATTTGACTGGGTTGTAACTGTTTGTTACTCTGCAATGCTTTGGCCTATACTCCACCGATTTGCTGTTTTCTAACTAAGCCAAAAGTTTGTCGACTTTCCCAAGACGGCGACCGCCATCTTTGGGCTTCATAACGCCTCTCTGAGGACAAATAGGTGACATCACCGAGACTGCCTACGTCTACGTTTTATACAGTCTTAGCACAACAGGAAGAAAATGGGCGGAGCTTCTTTAAGAAGACGGCGCAGCAACATGACACAATCAAATCTGATGCATTCAAAGCTTCACTTTTTTTGTTTTTCAAACTTCAACATTTGCGATACAAAAGTCTGTGTGGATGGAAACACCAGAGCACAACATGTATCCCACCACTTTTCTAATGCTTTAAGATGCATTATGCAAAACGTCTCCCACTATGACGGATCACTTTGCATCTGATTTAGATATCAAATATTCTAACTTATGATTCATTTAGCCGTGACAACTCAAAAGCCGCGATCTGAATACCGAACGTCGAGTGTGGAGATGACAAACGATAATAGCCCCAGTTACAAATGAGTCACTTCACAAGAATGTAGCAGGAACACTGATGTTATTTATCACTAAGCTCATACATCCAGCCTTTATATATATTTTTTTTATAGTTGTTGGTGCAACTTTAAAGGCAAAACACTGGAGAAAAACAGCAAGGACATGCTCAGAGTAAGACATTCATCATGCAACGCTTGTATTATCGGGGTTTTTATGAACAGAAACTGGAGAAAAACAAAACAAAACGTGCTTCATATGAAAGTAATTTCACCAAATAGATAAATAAAAGATGCCGAATGTACCTTAAACCCTTCCTAACAAGTGACACAATCCTGACGCCATTCCTTTGCACACTTTTATGTTGGAATAAAGTACTTTGAGTGAGTAAGAAAACAGGAATTAACTCACATCCATCTTAACAGTTAGACTGCAATGCACATGACTGGGTGTAAAATCTTCCTGCTGAGACGGTGTTCCTACTGATGAAAGCAAATAGCTGCCATTATGCTGAGTGAATATCCATAATCTGAAGCAGCCATACATATATATATGTATGGAAAAAAAACCTGCTGATGTTCGTTTTCAGCCTCGCTCATAAGAGACCAATTTGCTACCCCCTAACTTCCCCGACATTTCCTTAATGCAACACTGAGGATCTAATGATGGGCCGCATTACTTATGCAGTCAAAACATCAGGGATTCCAAACAGGCGCTGTGCAATTACCTCAGCCGTGAGAGGACGACTCGGTGAAATTTTGAATGCATCAAAGTCTGCAGCCAAATTTAGTCCAACGCTCCAGTTCTGCGATAAAAATGTGTTTTTGGAAGAATGAAGGATTCGGGTGGGGGACAAAACACAAAAGCTATCCATCACAAGCCCCTGCTCTTGAAAAATATCTGTCCAATAGAGCGACTCAAGAGACTTCACTCATCAAAATGTCAGCAACAGACACTAAATATTCCGAGGCGTGCGTTGGCACTCTGGAGTATTAAACTGTTTTCCTTCTGAATGTAAAAATAATGTAAAGCAGCAGCCGGCGCTGCTTTTCTCAAAACCTCTCTGACAGGTCGTTGAAATTCAACATCTGACTCTCCAGTGCCCGAGCTAACCTCTTAGCTCTGCCGCAGCACCGGGTTAGCAGTACATTTGCCAGGCGGGGGGATAGCAGACGGTCGCCGCTAGAAGTCAATTACTGTCACATAGAGGAATCGGATGCCACCTTTTATTTCTTTTATTTATTTTAAAGAGCGACGCCTCGGCTCGCTTTCTCCAGCTCTTCTGGGACGGAGATAAACAATGAAGCCCTCGACCGGCCGGCTATCAGATTGGATGATAGCTCTGATCACTGCCGGGTAAATAGGTCGAAGCCCCCACCGCTGATTGGCGCGGGCGGGGAACACACACACGCAGCCGCTCACACGTACACACTCGAGAACAGAGCGAGTGCTGTCATGTGTGGATCCAGTTTTTTGATGTGCAAAGTGAATTTGATGTGCCCGTTTCTAATTAACCTATTAATCATGGCTCTCATGTACCAGATGTCTGCCCTCCCCTTCTCCTGCATGTGTGTGGAGCTGTGTGTGTGTGTGTGTGTGTGTGTGTGTGTCGCTGCATAATTAGGGCATATCAGCAGGATGAAGTCACACTTCAACATGGGAGGGGGGGGTGGGTGGGGCAGGGGGTCATGGCATAACAGAGATAAACCCTGCAACAGATCATGGGTGCAAAGCAATTAAAGATCCAATATCTGCATTTGTCTACCGGGCTGATTTAAACAGACATCGACCCAAAAAAATGATTTAATACATAATGTTTGAGTCACTGCAATCAGAATCTTTAATCTTCTCAAGTGTTGGGTCAAAATCAGTATTCTGATTAAGGGTAGGAATCCCAGACTTAAATCATCACACGATGCGATATATGTGGCCTTGACGCACAAAGGATGATGGTCTCTGTAGTTCCCACTTCTTTATTATCTCAAGAACTGTACAGTAAAATGTGCTACATCTTCTCAGGGCCACAGCCAAGGACACGAGGAACAAGAATCCATTGAATGTTTCTTGTTAACTGTCACAGGTTCTTCAAAATAAAAGCTCAAATATGACTGAAATATCACATACGACATGATGAATATCATCTCAATGCCATTTGAGCACAAATGGACACTCTGCTCCACCGCGGCTGGAACAAAATTACACCTGTTTTGCCCAGAAGACCAATCGCTTCATACCATCACAGGTCCACGACGATACCAAGACACTCTCGATCTGGGAATGCTGGAAATTGACGATACCGATTGTAATATTTCTGACTTCAGCAGTAGTCACCCAAATGAAATGTTTGTGTCGTCGGCACACGTTTGAAAGTTACATTCAGCACCTTCCTTCACACTTTGAGCGAGTACAAGCCGCAAAACAATGGACACCTGACCTGACAATGCCGCCTTCTAATTGTTTCAGAGATGTGAAGGTTTTATTCATTTCGGTCTCGGTGGAGCAAACTGCCCTCCTGCTGTGATTTGTCCGATCACGTCCATTGTCCCAGGAACAGCTGCAGAGCTACGAGACAGCACAGACAGAAAGGAAAGACGTGACTGATGACCACCGATCCCCTCCTCCTCTCCACCTGCTTTTCTATAAACCTCTCTCACCATGTACATTGAGCGGGCTCGGACTTAACTCCCTAAAACGCATTAAAGGGGACATATTATGAAAAATCCTCTTCTGCAGTGTTTTTGAACATTTATTTGGGCAACCTGAGAGTCTACTGATTCACAAAATGTGAAATACATCCATCCAGTCCTTTTGTTTGTGGTCTGCATAAGTCTTAACAAACAGAGAAAAATGCTCTGTTTCTAATGTGCTCTCCTTGTGATGTCACAGTGGGATTCTGGTAAAAAAAAAAAAAAAAAAATCCCCTCCCCTCCCCTGATATCTCCACCCATGGACTCCACCCCCAGCCGAGAACAAAACTTTTCCGCAGGTCTGCCATTTTTATTCTCACTACAGAGGAGTGATGTCTACGGGGAAAACTCAGGGGGAGGGGTCATTGCATTTAAAGAGACACACACACATCAAAACGTGTTTGACCTAAAGCTTGACTTATTCAAGACTTCATGGCTCCTTCTTCAAAGTTTCTAAATTACCCAATAAATGGAGGTTAAAAATCAACTGACCTGGAAGCAGCAAGGCCAAAAAATCTGAGCACACCAACGGCCAAATATTTGACGTTTTCTCCGCTTGTTATTAAAGCCTGTGAAACTTAAATAAAGATGAACCTGTGCAGCCTCTTCTTCCTTTTGCGATACTTTCCTGAGATCTCCCGAAGTAAAAGACCCTCACAGACATTTTTTTGTTTCTTGTCTCTTGCAGGTTCTCTGTATTTGCCAGAATCTCCCAGTAAGACTTTGCGATGAGAATGTCGGACACGGTCGACGCTGAAACGATGAAGGCGTCCGAGGCTGCCAGCACGGCGTCGCCTCCAAAAGACAGCGCCGCCAAGTGCGAGGCCGCAGACCAGAGCCAGGGCGGCAGAGAAGAGCACGGCGGTAACAATAAGAGGGACGTACAGGTAAGGAACTCCCGACACCCCTCGACCGTTCTCCGAAAAGTCCAATCAGCGAGGCTCAAGTCGAAGTTGAGGACACTTAGAAGCGACCCAACTTCTTTTTCCAAATTTAATTCAGTCACAATCAGCGTCAAACACAAGCTGCCCCCCGGGGATCTCCTGTCACCTGAGGCATTCAGGATGGCTTCAGCCTGGCTGCTTTGTGTAATCTGCACACACTTGAAATAAAAATGAGGCGTTTTTTTAAGGAGGTCAGTCCGATTGAGACTCTCCACTCCTCTTCTACGTGGTTGTTGAGAAACGTCCATGTGTGTGAAACATTGTTCAGGCGAGGTAACTTGTGAGTCCGCCATGGGAGACATTAAAGCCCTGGATCTTCTGGGGATTGAGGGCAGATGAGATCACTTTCAAATAAACTGCTAATTAATTAGGTCTCTGTGTCATTGCAACAAATGTGCTTGGGGACTGCAGGAAATTTGCACTTTGTAATTTGGCTTTGAAACCCCAAACCTGGTGCTCAATCATTTTGGCTCTCAGAGGAACGGGCACTCCAAATGTGAAAACGGCCAAACGGCGTGAAATCGCTTCTAAGCGTGGTCAAGGAAAGACAAAATCCTGGGAAGGGGAAAGGAAAGGAAAGGGATTGTGTCTTTGGCTGCAGCCTCAAAATAGGATTCAGGCCAATCTGGCCTCGTGGTTTTAGAGGCAAAGGCGATGCGAGGGAGTCAGGCAGGCAGATAATCTGGAGCTCAAATCCTGGCTTATCTACCGACTACTTCCTGTGTGTCTGTTACCCCGAGGAACAGAGTGACACCGGCATGGGAGACGGGAGGAGGAGGAGGAGGAGGAGGAAGAGGGGAGGGGAAAGACGTTGTTAGAATGAGGGATCAGAAAGCGGAGGGAATGAAATAAAAGACGAGGAACGCGGCAGAGATGATTAAAGAGAAGAACACGGGAATGAAAGCATGAAGATAGAAGTCAGTTTCAAAAGTCTAGTTAATAATAAAAAGGATCAGCTAAGGGAGTAGCATACATCTAGGGAATAGGAGGGTAAAAAGGAAATGGGTGCAGGTTTTACTGCTACTGTCTTACTTGGTCTGGTATGACAAGTAGCTTACTACTGGAGAAAAGCCAACCCCCCCCCCCCCCCCCATGACCAAACTGCCAATGAGATAGGATGTAGTACAGTTCCTCACAGGAGCTTTAATTGACTTTGCATGCATCCTCGTCTCCTCTAATGTTCCTGTGACCTCTAAAGAAGTAGGCTGTTTCTCGCTACTTTCTTGTCTCTCTACTGCTTTTCTAAAAACTCGGCTCGATGTTATTAGACCGCGGTCGAGGGATTTGCCGGGGGCGCCAAAAACAACCGACCTTTCTGTTTTGTAATTTTCAGCAACGGGAGGAGGAGGAGGAGGTGAAGCTTATTTTGTCCTTCAGTGTGAGGGCAAAAAATGAGGGAGGTAGGAAATGGGGGTAAGGAACATGGGACGAGGCGGAAGTAGGTGTAACACTGGGACACACAAAAAAAGAAGCATTCCAACAGAGGAAAAAGAGGAAGGTTGTGCTGGGTGACTTTGCCACCATCTGCCTCCAGCTCTCCGGCTCCGTCCTCTGCGGCAGGACAGGTGGCTGGTGGCCGTCCTACTTCTGCTGACTTCAGCCCTTTTCCCCTCTCCCCGCCTTTCCCATTCCTTTCATCTCCTGCCGGCATTGTTCATTCCCCCACCGGCCCGCACGCCGCTCAATTAGCTGGTGTAGCGGTGCGCTAACAGTCCCAGCCCTCCCCTCCCCTCCCCTTTATCCTCCACCCACATCCACATTACCTGATGTAGCGAGGGGAGTGCAGCAGGTCACAGGCATCGGAGATGGGTTGAACAGCGGTCCATTCCAATTTTTTTTTTATTTTTTTTTTTAGAGGTGTTATTTGGCCTGGAGCTCAATGAGGGAGGGGAGGGGGGTTGTCCTTTTTTTGATTTTTAGAGGACAGGTGGGAAGGACAGAGCTGTGTGTGTGTGTGTGTGTGTGTGTGTGTGGGGATGCATGTTGGGATTAGGAAGCAGAGGTCTGGGCTCTGTTACAATTCCAACAGAAATGGCTCCTGCCAGGTCTCACATCCCTCCCCACCTTCCCCCCACTCCCTCCTATCCTCCGCTCCTCTATGCGTGCAACTGAGAGACCGTCTGTTTACACACACACACACACACACACACACACACACACACACACAGCCACTAGTGCGTGAAGCGCTGAGGCACCGAGCTGTCTCACACACTGTTGGGCATCCGGAGTCTCTCTGCTTTTCTGCATCTCACCTCCAGCGCCCGGGTCTGATTCACATGACAGCTAGCGACACATAAAAACTGACCCGAATCGCTCTCAGCCAAATGTCTTACTACCTTTTTGTTTTCTGCAGAGTGTGCGTGTGTGTGTGTGTGTTGGAAATGCAGCCACTTTGGTAGCATATGCTCTGCAAAGAAAAAAAAAAAAAAATTAATTCATGCTCCCAGGAAATTGTACACGTCGGAGCTTGATATTTCATGCTTGCACGGGGGGGTATTTATCATTTTCTTTTTCATATGTCAGTGCCACTTAAATCCACCACTGTGCTGTTAAATATTTCACATCTAATAACGCGAGCATTACAGGAGGTTATTTCTCTTTTTCTGCTGTCTCGCTTGGAATTGTTGTCGCTCTTGTGCTGAGCTGCTGCACAAAATGTAGGCCAGTCATATTTAATTCAAAACTTCTCCACTTTTTCCCAAGTAACATTCCTTCTCCCCCCCCCCCCCGCCTCCAAAGTTATGTGGTTTGTTTGAATTTGATTTTTTTTTTTCCCTGTATCTCCCCCCTGCACCCCCTCTCTTACCTGTGGACAGACTGTGAAGTACTCTAAGGTACGGTACGCTCGACTTGCATGCCGTGCAAAGGATGCTCGAAAACCTGTGATATGTGCACTGGGATTGCATTTTGTTTGCTTGGATTCCGTTGGACGTTGTGCTTGTGTTTGCAGGTCAAGCAAAGTTGTGATGATTGTACAAATTGCTCCGGACGTGTGTTTAAAAAAAAAAAAAAAAAAAACCTCAGATCGTGTTGAAATGGCATTATTTGTGTGGCATACTTGCCTTGCTGCATTTCTGTTGTGATCTCAGGAAAACGATGAGATGATCAAGTCAAGGTCTACACTCGTATGAGCATCTAAAAAAAAAAAAACCCTCAAAAACAGATCCCTCAGCTAAGATGTTGAATATTGTAAAGATGTGATTTGCTTGCAGTAATCCGTCATGCCCGCTGGATGTTTCTGTCATACTTTCCCACTTGACACTGATGCAGTTGTGTAAGTGTGTGCATGGTTTTTAACTGTGCCCACCTACCTGCACCCCTCACTCCCCCCCCCCCCCCCCCCCCCCCTCCTCCTCCGTAGTCCAACACCAGGCTCAAGCTGGTGCGGAGCCTGGCAGTGTGTGAAGAGTCCTTCCCTTGCCCAATCCCTGAGCCTTCAGCAGCACCTCAGGTAACATTCTCTCTGAATGAGCCGAGTTGTAAATGTCCAGTGAGAAAGGGAAGCATGCCTATTTAACTTTCCTTCCGTTAAGGTAGCGCCATCTCTGATGAAGATGAACGACTGTGATTGCAACACACAGAGTTTTGAATGGAAGGTGGTTCGTTTAAAGCGTGTATCTTTTTTGGTCTGACGCTGTTATGTTGGAACATTTTGCCTTTGACATAAAAGCAAGAAACGCTCAGTCACTTAAAGAACATCCCCTCCACACCTGTTTTAAAGACAAATACAAAACAAGCCGGTTTAATTCATCTGAAATAAGACATTTTCTGCTTCAGTGAAAAAATACCAAATCTTCAAGTGTTCAATTGTCATGAGATTCTTTGTACTTCAATACAAAGTCCATTTCAGTACATGATAAACGTCTTCAACTTCACTCCAGATACTACAGATACACACACTCACGCGAGCACGCCCCATGTACAGAGGCTGTAGTCCTCCAAGCGGGCGGCCCACGTTCAAATCCCACCTATGGCTCCTTTCCTGTGTCATTCCCTACTCTCTCTCCCTGATTTACAACTCTATCCACTGTCCTATCTCTCAATTAAAGACACAAAAAGCCCCCAATCCAGCCTGTTCTGAGTGTGCAAACATGTTCGACATGACATGAGAGATGGTATTTTCTTTTTTTTTTACAATTTCAGACTATGTGCAATGACAAAAATGTCGAGTTAATGTCTCGCAATGCAGGTCAATGAAAGAGGTGTAATAAGTCACATAATCCAGAAGAACATTGGAGGTGAAGAGGTTTCTGAATCACAGAAACCTCTTCACCTACCTCCAGTTTGATGTCATGATAAGATAATGAGTGATGAGAATGTAACACAGACACATTCTGCTCTTGTTGGTAGCCTCAGTCAAACCCATGAAGCCCAGTGGGCCACACACTCTTTTTAAGCGCCGACCAATGAGCGGTTCTCCATGCGAGCTCAAACGCGGGCAGACCTCCGCTGCCTCGATTAAGCGGCCCGCGTCTGACAGCTGTGATTAAATACCTGGCCTTGGCCGCCCGCTTTTAAAAACATCACATCATCAAAACAGAACGCACACGGCGCTCCAACAGCGCGTTGGACGTCTGTTTGCTAAGTCTTTTTTTTTTTTTTTTGCATCGTATCTCCAGGCGAAGCCCCTCCCCCCTCCCCCACTCTGATCAAACTTTCTCCATTACATGCCGCTGTGCACAGCTCCTGGCATGCCTCACACACACACACACACACACACGTATGCACAGGTGTGTGTGTTTTTTTTTGTTTGTTTTTTTTTCCAAGGTGTTTCAGCCAGTCAGCACCGACTCCCATAACCAGAGGGCGAGGTGTTATTCCCACAACAGTCTCGCATCGTCTGCACTCACACGACGTCCTGTATTACCGCCATCAATCATGTCGGGGAAATTACAATTTCCACACGTCAGCTGCAGAGAGCTGCCGAGCGCTCTAATTGAATACTCCTTGATATCCCCCCCCCTCCCCACTTCTTCCTGCTAAAAGTCGACACTCCTTATGCGGCGACCTAACCTCGAGGGGAGAGGTAAGGTAATAAAGAAGCGGGTGAAAAAGAGTGCACATCCTGCTGCAAACAGCATCATTATTGGATCTTATCATCGCCCATGATTCTCCTTCTTTCTTTTTTTTGCATTCTTCTCTCCACTGTAAGAATGAACAAAGAGCTGAATAAATCCACAGGCCCCTCAAAGGCATCCCTTCATCCTGAAAAAAAACGACATCTGCCCTCACATCGCACGCCCCGGCTGTCAATCCCAATCAATGGCCGACAGTCACGGCGCCTGAATACACGCTGTACTTCCATTGTTTCAGACTTGACAGCGCGTTCATTACATATGCAGACGACCGTCATTTTCCCGCTGTTTTTCCCTTTTATCTCCGAGTAAAATGGATGTCAGGAAACAAATGAGGCAGCTCGCAACAGCTGCACATCAACCCGGGGGCGGCTTCCACGTGACGCCGAGGGTGGCATTAAGCGGCGAGCGTCACCGCTTCATGCCAAAGGGTTTGGGTGAGGGGGGGGGGAGAAAAAAATGTTTCTTTGACAAACACACAAACACAACGAGCGGGAGTGAAGTTGCTGTCACTTCCACAACACAACAACCCCAGACTCGATTCCCCCCCTCTCCCGGTCCCGCTCGTGCAATTAGTCAGTCACGTTTCTCATTAGCATGTTACATTCTCACATATATTCACATATATGCTACAGGGGCGATCGAACTCGAGACCTTTTTCTGGGTCAGGAAGCTGCTCTTCGGCCACTAGGTCACCCCCTTTTTTTTTTCCCCCTTTTTTCTCACTCCTTCATTCATGTCTCTCTCACACACACACACACACCTACACACTCCTCTCCTCTCTTTAGCTTCCTTTTCAGGGTTTTGTGGAATTGCTGAAAAGAAAGTCACATCCTGTCTGAGTCAAGTGCTGATTCTTTTAGGTGTGTGTTTTGTGTGTGTGTGTGTGTGTGTGTGTGTGGCAATACAGCTCAATTTAAAGATCTGTACAGGTGGGGTTGATGACCGCTAACTCCTTTTTTTTTTTTTTTTGACTGAACTTAAACTGCTTCCTTCTTCAATTCCAGGCTCATAATCATGTTTTTTTTAGTTCGATACAATCAAGCTCGTCTCTCCGATCGCTTTGCCATTTGTGAATTGGAATTCATGACCCAAGGGCGCCTTATTGCCAGATATGAAACGGGTTTCAAAGATTAAACCAGGAGAGTTTATTAAGTGGCCCCTCTATTTGCCCCCGGTGCTACTCGCTAATTAACCCAGAACCTTGGGCAAGATCACCGCAAATTAAAAACTCCTCATATTTAATGCCTCCTTTTTTTTTCTAAATCGTCTGTTCATCGATCAGAACGCGCCTCAGGGTTTGTCGCTCTGTAAAATGCTGACATTAGCGCTTTTTGTTCAAATTCAGCAGAGAAAAACGTCCATTTAATCGAGACGCGAGCAAGAACAATATCAGACACGCACACACACCCCTGCTTATGTGTCGTTGTGTTTTTTTTTTTTGTTTCTTTCTCCTTGAACAGGATGGATTTCTTCTCAAGCCCTTTGAAAAGGAAGATCGAGCCCCACAGGAGCAAGCGGAGAAAGAGGAAGGCTGCAATAAGGCGGACAAACCTGAGAAAACAACGAGAAAAATGCTGTCCAGAGGTGAGAAATGAAACCAAAGCCGTCGGGAATTACTCCATTTAGAAGCTCTTTTTTAAAAAAAATTTAAATTGTAGTATTCATGCTTTATTCCTTGAATATATCCTCCTTTTCCTCTGATTTGTAGTTATTTAAATACATCCTGAACCCTGGCTGTTGCCCCCTCTGTGAATATATTTCTAAAAATGTTCTCACATTTGGTGAGATCCTAAAGGTGAGAACACCTGACTGGAAAATTCCCATTAACAACTCGGCTTTCTTTACATGGTGAACATCTGGGGCCTCATTGAGAAACATAGCTCATCCTAAAAAGGAAAATTCAAAAGATGCTTTTTATCATCCAAAAAAAAATTGGCATTTATAAATAGAAAGATGGGAATGATAATGTATGCACATCTATAATTACCCGCGGCGGATATTATAGATACATATGGATGTCTCCAACCTCCTTTTGACGGCACAGAAGAAGAAGAAGTATTGAAAAGGAAGCCAAACGCTATAATGATACTCATCACACAATCCATGTCACTCGGCTAAATTACAGCCCTCTAATAATTATATCCTTTACTATGTCACCGGTTCATCCGATCCTAAACATTTTCTCTGCCCTCCGGTTTGTCCAAAAGCACTCCTCCGCTCTAAATGATATCTCATTATGTGCCGATAATTGGCGTGATTCAGTTAATTGCGACAAGCTCAAGGTGTTAAGCAATTATTCGGATTCCCACGGGCGCGTAAAGGTGTCTGCTTCCCTCTGTGGAGCAACACCACTGATGAGGCAGCCTCCAATTATAGAAACCAGACACCCACTGAGAAAGATTGGGGGGGGTGGGTGGGGGGGTGGGAGGGGGTTGGCCTCTCTCTCTCTCTCTCCGATGTCCCCTGACTCCCACTGATGGGTCCCATCCTTTTGTTGGCGCTCAGGAACGAGTTTTTCTTCAGTGTCGACTCCGTTCCCCCGACCACTTCTTTATTTCTTTAAGTGGCTCAGCTGGCAGAACTCGCTGCTGCTGATACTCGCTGCCAGATTCCCCTCATTGGTCACACTGCTAGAAACCACTGAGTGGGATTGTTTCACAACGCTGTCGAGGTTTCTCTTTAGATTACGAGTCTGACTATTCCAAATCTTTCTTCATAAACAGGCTTATTCATATTCATGGCATACATTTTACCTACTGGTTGTGATGCATTCTGGGAGTTATCAGGATGGAACACTCCAATTTCCTTCCCCACATTGTGATGATTATAAAGAAGGTTCGATGAGGGGCACTGGTGGCTCAGTGGTTTAGTCAGGGTCCTGAGACGCTGACTAGACTCTTCTCCTCTGTCGCCCCCCCGGTGGTGGAATGAACTTCCAAACTCCATGTGATGTGCAGAGTCCCTCTGCACCTTTAAGAAAAAGCTAAAGACCCAGCTCTTTCATGAATACCTACTAACTTAATGATGATGGTCTCCATATTATTGATGATATTGTTTTTGTTTGATAATGACGACTTATAAGATGGTTTTTATACTGATTAGAGCTCTCAAGAACTGCCATCAATGTTGTGCTTTGCCTCTGGTCACTTCCTGTCAGCACCTGTGTGTCCAATCAGACTCAAAGCTGATCGTTTGCTCTTACTGACATTGTTCCTTTTTTTCTCGATCCTTGCTTGTTGTTCTTACTCTCTGATGTACATCGCTTTGGATAAAAGCGTCTGCTAAGTGAATTGTAGGGCGGCCCAGGTTCAAATCCCACCTGTGGCTCCTTTCCTGCATGATATCCCCTACTCTCTCTCTCTCTCTCTTCTCTCTGTCCTATATCTCCAATAAAGGCACGGGGGGAAAAAAAAAAAACAAGGTTTCATGCAGCTAATGTCAGTGATGGTTTTCTTTCCCTTTTTTGGTTAGATTCCAGTCAAGACTACACGGATTCAACTGGTATAGATCTCCATGAGTTCCTGGTCAACACATTGAAGGGCAACCCCAGGTAGGCTGAACACACACACACACACACACATTTGACTACCTGATTTAAAAAAAAAAAAGAAAAGAGAATTACAGTTTCAACGCCTGGATCTTAATCTTAAACATTTCCAATTTTGACCCAGAAGTCCCTGCAGTCTGTCAAAGGTAGATTGTCCCACTTACGACGGCATTGCTAGCTTGTTAGCCAGCTCTGTTCGACTATCTAGCAGTAGCCTCTTCCTAGCCGCAGCTTGGGCCTCATGTATTACCGTACCATTGGAGTTACATGTGTACCATCACTAGTACTGATTCTGATCATTTTCCCTGTCATAATTAACAATGTTATCGTTGCTGTTGATTTTATGTGTGACAAAGCTGTAGTTTTTTTTTTTTTTTTGAAAGAGCAACAAAAAACAGAAATAAATAAAAATGTATTTGAACTTTTTTCGCTGGCTTGACATGCAAACAGGAAGCAGCAACAACTGTGAGGTTTTCAAATTAAACCTTTCGAACTGAAATTTAAGAATTGTGCTTTTTTTGCGAGCAGCTGTTCCATCTCGTTTGAACGTTGTCATGGAGACCATTTGTGGGGCTCTTGCAATTCAGTCTGAATGTCTTCAAAGTGAGAGGGCTGTGCGAGCTGAGAATGTTTAAAGTGCCCACCGGCCTTTCTTGATGGTTGACGGGAATCTGCGCCATCCGTCCGATACAACCGACACCTTAATTATGTCAATATCGGACCTGATACAGATGTGAGATCGGATCTGTCCCATCTCCACTTACAATCTCAAAAAGAGACAACGCAGGGCTCTTCTCAAACGAACTCTCAGAAGGTTGTTGAACAAACACTATCCTGAAAGATTTCACAAAAAGAAAAAGTCCGCCGCTGCACAAAACGTTCATCTAGTTTTGGATTGTTTTTTCCTAATCCAAACAAATAATAATAATAATAATACATTTTATTTAAAGGCGCCTTTCAAAACTCTCAAGGTCACCTTACAGAGCAGAGATAAAAACAACAATTTAACATTAAAAACACAAATGTACAGGATGTAAAAGGAGTTATGAGAACGGGTGGAGAATGATCAGACTGAATAAGCCAGTTTAAAAAGATGTAGACAAGTAGATAAACAATGCACGCCATGATTTCAGCTTTCCCTTCATGTTTACCTCTAGATATCTGCATAAATAATATTACTACTACTGGTTACTTGCAGGATGATGTGTTAGTGGTTCGCTTGCTTGCTACAGTGTTGAGTGTGTAGTGTACAGTGTAGTAGCCAAACCAGATACTGCTATGCTAAACATCTTCTTAGTACTCTGACTGATTGAGGATGTGTCTCCCCGAGGAGTGAAAGGCTGATTTATGACGCGATGGTGATTTCTTTTCAGGGATCGAATCATGCTGCTGAAGTTGGAACAAGACATCTTGGACTTCATCGGCAATAATGAGTAAGAATATATTCACCTGTTTGAGCATATGTGTAATTTTTTATAATTGGTAAACCTGTGCTGAATGCCTCCATCAAGTTAAGGCATGTCTTTGAGTTGATGGTGTTTAGCTTGAATATGTGAGCACAAATGATGTGTACATCCTTCAGATGGGCTGTGAGTGATGTTACACAATTAAGAGTGCCAGCTGTTAGAGCTCCTGTTTAAATGTAATGCATCATTTATTCAAAAGAAACCGGCTTTGAGTTGTTGTTACTACTCTGCTTGTAATGCCTTTGGAAATATTGAGTTTTAATCACGACACCCATATGTGGAATTACAGAGAGTTAAATGTTCTGCTTCTCCCTTCTAGAAGCCAAGAGCGAAAGTTCCCACCCATGACGTCCTACCACAGGATGCTGTTACACCGAGTGGCTGCCTACTTTGGCATGGACCACAATGTGGACCCCAGTGGGAAGTCAGTGGTGATCAACAAAACCACCAACACTAGAATGTGAGCCCCTTCTTCTTTCAAACTTCATGTTTATTTGTTTTTTTGCTTGAAAGTCTAAAAGCTAAAAAAAAGCAATCTCAGCTTTGCCATGTCATTATCAATTTAGATCTTAGCATCTAATTCAAAGTTGCAATAGCAATGTTATGTAAAGCACATTTCCTTACAAGGCAAGGTGTGCTCTACAGAGTTCTCCTGCTTGGGAGAATAGATAGGTTTTTGAATTTTGCTTTAAAAGTCGAGACAGTTGAGATGGACCTCAGGTAATCAGGAAGTTTGTTCCAGAGAGGAGGGACTTCAGTAACTAAAGACCCCCTCACCGGACTTTGATTTAGCTCTGGGTCTGGCTTAAAGACCTCCACCTGATGATCTGATTGGCACTACATTTAGTAATGGGACTTCTGGATGTAAAAGAGCAAATGACAGCTCAGTGCGCAGCCCCCGAAGCAACATCAAAAAGCACATTCTTGTCATGAAATAGCTTTAGTCAGCTAAGTTTTAATGTTAAAAATCTTAATAATCACAGATCTGAGCAATAAAAAAACTAAATGTATTTCACAGCAGCTCAGCTTGCAGCCCCTCTTGACATCCTGTCCATTAAAGAGCACTAGAGAAACACATTTTTGAAGTGTCGCTTTGAATACAAGGTCCTTTTTTTTTTTTCTTTTTTTTTTAAAGAGATGGAGAACTCTGGATTTTATTTAAAACATCTTGAAAGATTAACTGAGAAAATACTAAGCTAGCCTAAAAACTGAGCTTATTGAATTAGTGGCAGCTCAGCTCACAGCCCCTCCTGCAGGCCTGTTTAAAGGAGAATGTCTTACACGTGTCGTCTTAATGATGAGCTGCTTTGTTGTTTCCCTTTGAGATATCAAGTGCGACAACTTCAGTGAGTGTTGAGGAAGGGAACCTAACAATCTCATCATACTACACGACCATTTTATTGTTAATTTGTGGTGTATTTTCCGCTGCAAAAAGCTGTCGCAATCAGTCGGGTACAGATAAGTTGCCTCCCCTCCCTGCTAGTAGTTTTTAACATATGTTGCTGTCAGCATCTGCCTGAAATTAAGCTGCCACTAAAACACTCCTGTGAATTCCCCCGCCCGACAGACCCGATCAGAAATTCTCCGAGCACATCAAGGATGACAGGGCGGACGACTTTCAGAAACGCTACATTCTCAAACGTGACAACTCCAGCTTTGATCGCGAAGACAGCTCGGTAGGTGTTTTTTTTCTCTCTCTATCTATCTCTCTCTCTCTCTCTTCTTCACCAAGCTGTCACTTTCATTCCTGACATGTTGGTAAGAGTGGGACAATCTGGCGTCCCTGACATTGCTGCTAAAGAAGCGTGTGTGTGTGTGTGTGTGTGTCCTTGCCAGGCCCGAATGCGTTTGAAAGCTGACAAGAGGAGCAAATCGATGGAGGAGAGGGAGGAGGAGTACCAGCGAGCCAGAGAAAGGATATTTGCACATGATGTGAGAGCTGTTTGTGTGGGCGGGGATGGGGGGGTGGGGGCCGTGTTGCACAAATCTTTGTCGTTTCTATTCATGTGCAAATTCAGTGGATTTTCTTGCTACCAATTACCACTTCTGGATTTATGATTTTTATTTTTAAACGGAGTTGCTCCCGTTTGGAGCCTTTTCTTATTAATGTCAGATTCACACTTACAAGTGCAAGCAGGTATAGCAAAGTCTTAATTAATGAGAACAAATAAATGATTGAATCTTAAGAGTAAACAATGGTTTTAAATGAGCGCTGAGTGACTGAAAATGAAAAGAAACACAACTGACTGTAACTTTAATTTCCCCCCACAGGGAGATCACTTCATCCTAGACAGAAGGTGAGTCATAAATGTTACACTTCTTCACATAACCAGCGACTGTGCTCCACCTCTCATTGTGTAATTAAAAGCAGTATCCAGGATACATGATGAATTGTCTGTTAATTGGCCGGAGTCCGACCCCGTTTTGTCCTTTTTTAAGTGGAACTGAAGCTCTTCAGATAGCGTCCACTTCAAATGATGTACAATCCACTTTTATAATTTTCCTCTCAGAGCAGCAATTAGAGTCCTCTCCTCTCTGCTCATGTCTTAAAATGTCGGATATCTCATTTTGTTAGCCTGTTCTGTAACACCTCTCTCTCTCCCACACCCTCCCCCTCAGTGCTCAGGATGAAGACGCATGCATGAACACCCAACAGAGGCGGCAAATGTTCAGGTAGGTCCAATCCCCCCTCCTCCCTCCATCTCCTCCTCCTCCTCCTCCTCCTCCTCTCCTCCCGTCACACATCATTCAGCTCATTCAGCGGCCGAAAAAACCGCAGGCAGAGGAAACCCTTTGAATCGCCGTCTGCCTTAATCGGCTCGCTCAGGAGCGGGGAGTGCTGATCTGAGGATTTGTTTTTTCGCTGCTCAGGAAAAGCTCGTGTTAAATAGGATTTTCTGCCCAGGCGTCCTCGTGTGGGACGGCCTAGTCGGACCCAAAGCCTGCCAATTAAGCATGAAAGCTTTTTTTTATTTATTTATTTTTATTTGGAAATGTCATCTTTTATTGATCAAGGGCAGAAGAATGCAGCAACATACTGTTTGCTCTTACAGGATGACTTGAGGCCACGATTAGGATGTCAACATTTGAGTAATCTAGAGGCTGTGAAATATGCAAATGCGTCCATATTTTTTAATGCAGGCATCTGCTTTTTTGTGTTCTCCCCGATTAACCACCCTATTGCCACAGAATTATATGAAGAAAATGTTGCTCTTTTTGCATCAGAGCTTGCAAAATCTCAGCATTGTGATCCGGAAGGAATCGTTGATGACACATTTAGAGCTGAACAAAACAAATGAGCGCCAACACTAGAATGAGGGTTTCCGCTTTGATCCTGTGTTTCCGCGTCTTGTTGCAAATTTGCCATCGCTTATCACATATTGTCATGTCACCATCACAGTCTAGGTATTTAAGTTAAACCAGTAGGTTTCAGTCACGGGACATCTGGAGGTGAAGAGGGGAGGGAAAAAAAGCCGGCTTATGTTAGCGACAGCTCAGTGCGCAGCCCCTGAACACAACCAAAAAGCATTGGAGAACGACAGGTTTTTGACTTGAAACTTATTTTTTTAACCGTTTATCAGCTGTCGTCTTGATATTTGGAAGACTATCTCAAAAACCTAGCTAACAGCTTTACCAGCAGCTCAGCTAGCAACCCCATCTGACATCCTGTACATTTAAGAGCTTTGGAGAAACACAAAATTGTAATATTTTAATGCAAGTTAAAAAAAAAAAAAAAACACTTTTAATACCAGGTCTGTTTGTTTTAAAGAAGAGGAGAATTCTGCACATACTTTGTAGAAACCTCTTTCACGTTTGGCGTGTTTTATGGACTGAATGATTTCATGACGATAAGTGAAAGTTGCTTCCATGCTCAATATGAAGATGCTTTCATGCATTAAGTTGTGGATAAGATTTGATCATTTGAGATAAAGATAGAGATTAGCATTTTAAAACACATTTAAAATCCTCTCTTCCTGCGCAGGCTACGGGCCGGTCGTTCAGGCGCCAGCCGGCAGAGCAGCTCCGAGACCGAGACGCTGCCTCGGCACGGCGAGCCTCGGCCGTGGAGCAGCACTGACAGCTCGGACAGCTCCAACCGACTCGCCCCGCGGCCCGCCATGACCAAGGCCAGCAGCTTCAGTGGCATCTCCCCCGGCCTGGTTCGAGGGGACAGCACGGCCAGCAGCAAGAGCACCGGGAGGCTCTCCAAAACGGGTATGACGGAGCAGAAACATGAAGTGCGGCTTGGGTTAGAACAGCTGTCAAACAATGTTTACTCTGAAAATATTTGATTCACGTGAGTAATGCAGTCTGAAACACAAGAAAAATTGCTCTTAAAGGCGTTTAAGTTCAGTATTCTACAATTCAAACATGTTGAGTGAACAGTTCTTATATTCATATTCAGCTCTCTCTGTGACTGACTGCTCTAAACGAGGCGGAGGAAATGACACAGGTGAACTGTGGATGTAGACAGAGGAGTTTTTCTTTCACTTGGAACCAAGCAGGTAATTTATTCAGCCAGACAGGGAAGACGAAAACACCCTCTGTCGCAGCATGAAGTGGAAAAGATCCACTAATTAGACAGTAAAAAAGGAACAAAAATAGACACTCCACATACTGAGCTTCAAATAATATCCTCAGGCAGCCGAGACACCTCGAGTCGTATCAGAACAAATTGTGTCTTTTGGTCAAAAAGTCAGTGGGCCGCCCTGAAAGATGTCCAAACGAATCACCGTAGGAGAAAACCTCACAACGGTGAGTTCTTGTCTAACCACCTGGATGAAGTCAGAACTGCTCCCACATTGCAGGTGTTAGGATACATTTGCAAACTCCAGTTTGTTCTCCTCTGCGGGTTTGTCGTCTTTATCTCGGCGAGAAATCCTCTGCTCTCCGTTCCATTCTCTGCCACTGTTTCCCATCTGGCATTTTTTTTCTTGCCAATCTCCTGTTTGTTCTTTTCTCGCAGCAGCATTCTTTGCCTGAGCAGTTTCCTTTCTTATTTTTTTAAAGCTGTTTACGAGGCGCCCCGGCTGCCCTCACTTTGTGTTTTTTGGGAGAATAACTCGAGGGGACATCTCGCCCTGCGCTGCCGAGTACTCCTGCGGTCGCCCTTCTCCTTAAGCCCCCCCAAAATAACCTTTTCCTTGTAAAAGGCTGCACACCATTTCTACCTGGAGAAAAAAAAAAGCAGGAGCTTTTAGTGTGGCTGCGATGGGGGCCGAATCATCCAGTCCATCTCAAGTGAAAAGTTCTAGACACAATTTTTCACTTTATGGTCAAAAGTCATGGTCTTAATCTGTCATTTGTTTTCCGAGTAGGAAGGAAATGACAGGCGCCCTTGTTTGTGTCCTCAGGTTCAGAATCGTGCAGTAGCGTCGGCTCCTCGTCCAGCTCGCTGTCCCGTCCCCAGCTGCCCCTCCCACTCCCAGGCTCATCCTGGTCCAACATACCCAACGCGCCTTTAATCCTCCCGCCGGGCGACACCAGAGGCCACGGACACCCTGAGATGATCAAGAGCATCCCTTCCCAGCCGCCGTCAGCCGCCGACGCAACCAGCTACTATGTGTTGCCGCTGGAAGCCTCAGGGATACCACCTGGCAGCGTTCTGGTCAACCCACACACAGGTATTTAAAAAAAAAAAAAAAAAAAAACATTAGATTTTTGCTAAATCAGAAGGCACAAGATTCTTCTCTCCAAAAGGGTGGTGACCCAATCTCAAGCAACCAAATTAAATCAAAGCAATTCTCTCCCAAAATAAATCTTCCCGTCTTGTAATTATCTTTTTTTTTTTGCTTCTGATGAATATTCACGACCTGGGTACAGAATTACAGGCTGGATTAGGGCCGCAGTCGGTTTGTCCGTGAAATTAGTAGTCAGACCAAAAAGCATGCTGATCAAAATGCATGGAACAGATGGGAAGAATCTGTAAATATTCATCATCGGCCCGACTCACAGTTTTTGCACTTTTGGGTTGCAGACTGAACTTCAAATGCTGCCAAGGTTGTTAATTTCTTGTTGACTCTCCTCTCATGGACCATGTTTGGCTGTTTCTGAGTGCTTCCTTTTGTTTGATTCTGAATTATTAGTATTTGTGAATCCACATCACTCTCTCTCTCTCTCTCTCTCTCTCTCTCTCTCTCTCCCTCTTACAGGAAAGCCTTTTATCCACCCCGATGGCAGCGCTGTTGTTTATAACCCGGCTGCCGTCACCCCTGCAGCTGGCAGGAACCCACAGCAGGGGAAAACCCCACAGCAGCCAATCCCTGCCCCCACCCAGCAACAGCAAACCAATCACCTCCACTCCCAGGTCAGTGGGCGTGGCTTTAACTGTCAGCATGAACCGTTTTCTTTAACGCTACATGTCTGTTTCGCTCCTCCTAACCTTTACTAACCTGTAGTGTTGAAATGGGAGGAGCTTCACTAACCTGACCATTTGATAAACCCCTCCCACCAACACTTTTAAGCAACCATGAGACAAACTAGAAGGCCTGACACAAACTTATTATTCTCTGCTTTATTTTGGAACCGATTATTACAAACCAACAATAGCAAAGTGAAAGTTTCTAAATATTAAAGGAGCAATATGTAAGATATCTACTGAATGAAATCATAAACTATAAGATCAGACATTAAGGAAACATGCTGGCTTCTCTGACAGCCATGCAGCATCCAGTATGTCCTCCTACTAAATTC